GTTTAACTACAAATGCACATCTTTTGTGGACTATATACACCCAACCTGACGTGTAAACTGGGCTACAACTCTAAACTACTGGACATTCACACGGATACAATCGTCTTGGGCACCACGTTGAGCAACGGGCATCACCAGAGGTTGGTGGCCAAAGGCCCCAGACATGGTGCAAATTCTATAAACACCGGCTCCCGATTTTTGGAAGGCATCGCCGGGAACTTCAACGGACAAGACACCTTGTCCGTTTGCTGGGTCGTTCAGTCCCTTGAAGAACTGGAAGACTTCAGCGTTCGGTGGCCGGAATTTTTGACCTTGTTTGCCGAGACGTTGAATGGTAACGTGCTGATGACCTTGGATAACGCCTTGACCGTTCAGTTGCTGAGGGATGGCGTAGTACTGCACTTGCGGGTCGGAGAAGAAACCGGTTTGCAAGTTGTTGGTTTGGACGGAGACCGTGAAGGCTTTGCCGAGTTGAATCTTCTGATCCGGCTGAGGTGAGATGATCAGAGATGAAACCATTTTGTTGGATGCAGGGATTTGGCCTTGCGGGAGCGAGGAACAGAAACCGCCTCGGATTTGGGTACCGTCACCAGGCTTTTGGTTCGTCCCCTTGCAGAAATCGGCTATGTTCGGGTCGATTCCTTTGGCATTTTTGTTGTTGTTATTCTTGTTATTCTTGTTGTTTTTGTTGTTCTTGTTGTTCTTTGCGTCAGCGGCAGCCTTGTCAGCGGCAGCCTTGTCAGCGGCGGCCTTGTCAGCGGCAGCTTTTGCGTTGTTTTTATTGTTCTTGTTGTTCTTGTTGTTTTTAGCGTTCTTTGCGTCAGCGGCCTTCTTCGCGTCAGCGGCAGCAGCGGCCTTTCTTTCGCAGCAGCGTCGTTCTTTAGCCTTGGCGGCGGCGGCGGCCTTTCTTATTCCCGCCGTTCTTGTTATTTCCTTTGCTTGTTGTCTTTCTGTGTTTGTGGTCCTGGTGGTCCTAATGGTCTTATGGTCCGGCCGAGCGAGCAGGTGCAGAATCCACCGCATTGCGCTTGTGCGGCCGGCCAATCTGTGCGTTCTTTGTCAGGCCGCTGTTGTGCAAGCAGCGCTAGTTACCACGGCTTGTTACGAAGAGGGAGAACCCGCACAGGAAGAGACCCGCCGGCCGCAGGGTGTCAGTGTAAACTTGCAACCGACACATTGGGGCGACTTGCCATTGACACACGTATTTTCTCCATCCTTTGCATGCACCGTTTTTAACGATTCCCGGGCCTGCCAACGCCATCCTTTCCCGTTTTTGGCAACGATTTCCGCTAAGACTTTGGCGGGGCAAAAAGCGATGATTCCACGAATCATTTTGCAGACTATGAACGGGGATGAATGAGTTTTCCAAACCTCGTATCTTCCAGATGACATGGCTGCTTAGACACATACCTATTCTCTGCATTGGCTGTTGCCGAAGCAACTGCTCCCACCAGGGCAGCTATGGTAATGAATCGCATGTTCGGGGACTAGGGATAGAAGTTCACCAGGAACCACTATGGAAGCGAGGTTGAGTACGGAGCAGATGTAAAATGTGCTGCCGGTTACGATGTTAACCGTCAAGACTATCGAAGAAATCTATCTAAACGAAAAGCCAGTCGCTCGTTGAAGGTATGGAACAAAAAAAGGCAGGAATGGAAAGGGCGGGTACGTAGCGGTTTCCTTTATACCAACATCTGGCACACAAAACTAATTAGAAAAAGGAAAAAATGGGAGGACATTGGCCGGTAATTCCACACGTTTGCATTTGCAAAATAATAACGAGTGCGGAAATTGGGGGGTAAAATACAGTTTTAGGGGTATTAAGCCGGAGGGAGAGTCCCCTAACTAACAAGTTTATCACACGAGTTTCAACACTTTATTAGATGTTGGCAACTCCACTCGATGAATGGCATTTGAGTTATTAACGCGCATGTGGCATAGTCATCATTCATTGTATAGCGTGACTGTGCCTTTCATTCCTTATGATGAAACAAGCGTTTCAAGTTGATTATTGACTTTTAGCGGCCACGTTCAAAATGGGTGCCAACAAACAAACCATTTCTTCATGTTTAACCAACTTGCGTAAATTCAAACACCCTGAAACGTCACATTTTGAAACCAACACATTCAGAAAGGAAAACCCTGGCTTTTGTTTCTCGTTTGCAGCTCATCATATCTCGCTTTCTCAGTTTCATTTCTGCTGAACCTGAGCTCCTTCATGTGTGCGTTGCAAGTTTCCTCTGTAGGAATATGGAACATTCTGCATATAAAGAAGGTCATGCTCCGAGTCCTTGTTGTTCTAGCCCAGAACACAGGCGCATTGTCAACGTTGTTTAACCATCAGCTGGAGAGAGGTTTCGTCAGCGTTTTGAAATGAACTTTTTGCTGTTGATCACGGCGGAGATTGCACCTCATCAACGGGACCACGCGGCTTTAGCTAATCAGCCATGCAACAGTTTATCTTTCTGGCCATAGCCCAAGCCCCCGTTCGAGACCCAAAGTGGACCTTTTAGCCCACTGGGCTCCGTGGAGCCGTTCGTTACGTAAAGAGCTGAATATCGAATATTGCAAAACAGCCAGCATTACAAGTCTCAGGAACATTTTTCGAAAGTTGTTTCTGAATTACCTCCGGAAAGGGCCCAGTTTGGCCCTTTTTGCACAAATGGACGTATTCCGCGGGTTTACTGCCATATGGCATCCAGATTACAGTGTCAGGCGGAAGGTGAGTTACTTGCTTCATTTGATCACTTTTTTGACCGCTGTTGTAATCAGTGCTTAAAGGACAGATGGCCCTAGAATATTACTCTTGTTTGCGAACTGAGAGCAATCACAAGTGGGTCGAATTCTCGCACTTTGGTTTATTTACCTATGCTAATATCCTAGAATGTACGGGATACCTCCCAAGCTAAAAGGCTTTTTCATCTTTCGACTAAATTCCTATCCACATCGCAGTCAGAAACTCTAAAAATGGAATTGGATTGGCAGTCCGCTGAGGTACAGTTAGTTGCGAGAATACTTCGAAAGCTGATCGACAAACATTCTGGGAATCCATTATCCTCTCTATGCAATGTACTGTTCGGTGAACCTTGCCTAGAACACAAGACTAACATCACGTCCACACAACGTTGATATCTATCCTTGGATGGCAGCACATTATCAGAGCACTATACAATAAAACTATACACTAGGAAACAAAAAAAAACATACAACAACAATAGCCCTCTACGACTATTAAGCAAGAGCTAACAACATGGTATGTACATATTTTCGTCAAGCGTCAGGGTAATCGAGTTCCAGATGCATCTGTATTTACCGGGCCATAGATAAGCCCTTCCCTTTCTCCTTACTTCGATCCTCTTTGTCATAGGGTTTGAATCAGTAAGCCAGATCAAGTACAGGAGCAACCTTACAAGAAAAAGAATTAGGTGAACCTACCAACACTCGCTCGCGGTAGTAAGCTCCTCCGTACTGTCGATTTAACACTTCCCACCAGCCCACCGCGGGATTTCAGATTGCTGACCGGGGTAGACAGGCTTTTGGATACCGAGAGTTGTTCCTTTTTTGGTGCTCTTTTGAATAAACCTTTCTTTGGTGGTGGTGTCGTGTCCGTAGGTCTTGGTGACACGGGAGACGCTCCGGATTTTGTCTCTGGTTCAGACAAGGGGATTTGTAGAGATCTGGTCAAACCGCCTGACGATAGTACATCGCTATTTAGATCAGGGAGCATGGTACTAAAGGCAGGATAATGACTCGGATCTTTTGGTTTTCGTTCGCTGCCAGGACATCCAGTACCCGTCACCAAATGCTGTCGCCAGCCTTCCTCGTCACCGGGCACGTCCTGATGACACATGGGACATCTTGCCAGATCGGGATTATGGTTCAGCACTAAAACAAAGCCAGAGTTAGATCGGGAGAAGTTTATTCAAAAGTTCAAATTGCGCGCTAAAAGTTTACCTCGGCAGGATTTTTTGGCAACATGAGCCGCAAAGTCTACAGCCTTGAATGCTTCCTTACACCTTGGACATTGTCGCACGTCCTTTTTTCTATCACAGTCCTTTAGCAAATGGTCCGTCAACATTGGTATTTCCACAATCTACACAATTGTTGGCTTAATTGCAACTCCCAAAAAATCAACCTTTTAACAAGCATACATACCAACTTGCACAAGGGACAATTTGTCAAAACGGGACAATCTCTCCAATAATGCATATCAAGATTCTCTTCTGTGAAACCTTCATCTTGCTCTTCGCAAAAGATACATGTCCGATCTATATTCCAGTTGTTGGAATACAACTCATCGTTTTTGTGGGATGGGGCTGGTGCAGGCGGTTCGCGAGCTATCGATCCATCATGATCAGATGTTACGTCGGCAAGATTAAGCCACATCAGCGGGACTTACCCTTGGACTTTCCGTCCGGTTTCGTTTTTGGTGCATCTCTTGCAGGTGGTGGAACAGACGCCGTTTTCCCTACTCTCCGTTCTGATTTCAGGGAATTCGCAAGTCCCTCTACACCATCCACCGACTAGCACGCACAAAAAATAATCTTGAGATCGAAATCCATGCTTCATTAGCAAATTGGACAAATTTCTTACTCTTGACTTTCGCATCTTATCGTCTGACCGAATTCCCTTCTTCTCCCCATGTCCTCCATTCCCAAGCTTTCCTCCCGTAGATCCATTCGAAGATGTAGACGTGACCCTCTTTTTGTCACCGCCCTTGACTTTCGATTGTACAGGAGGAGAGTCCGCCATTTGCCTAAGCGCTTTCAGCTCATTCTGCAATTTCTTGACCTCCTCCGCACCTTCCTCTGGTGCTGCTGGCCCGGCAGGCTTTGATGGGCTTCGCTCCCATGGACGCGCTAATAGAGTATCAATACTCATCGTCAAGTGAATGCCAAAAGTTAAGGCAACATCAGTGACACCATACCTGGTCGAGCCTTCTGCACCCGTTTAACAGGCGTTCCTTTTGCTTCCGCAAGCTTGCTCCGAATACTGTCCATCAGCTGTGGTTTTACTTTCTTCAAATAAGGTGCAATAGCGTCTTCCCCAGACGCCTTCATTAAATCCACTACCACCCGAACCGCCGCTTCTCGAACCTCAACATTCGTATGGTGCAGTTGAGGTTCGGTAAAGTCCATTATACTCTTTGTTCGCAAATGTATCACCGAATGAATAGAGCACATTGAATACGACACATAAACAGCTTTCCCACCTGCAATGACGCGCCCCGCGATTTTCCGCGTCCTTCATTATCATCCAATCCACGTTCATCAATGAGTCGATGCAACACATCCAACCGTCCTTTAAAGACCTTCCAATGGGGAGTGGCGCCCTTCTTGCTTTCGGGCGGTCTTAGAGCGTAGGGATAAATACTAAAAGGCGCTTCATTGTACGATTTGGCGAGTGTGACAATCATGTCCGAACATGCCTACCAAAAAAAAAAAAACAAATCAGATAGTCGTTCACTAGGACTTGAGACATTTAGACTTGCCTGTTTCACTCGCGGGTTCATATCGCCCGCTTTTACAAGTAGTAATGGAACAATGGTATCAAAGTGACGAAAACTGACAGCGGGCGGCACTCGCTGGTTTGTACATAGCACTGCGTATAATTGACAGATGTTGATTCCAGCTTACCTGACAACGCATCAATTGCACCGAACAAACTTACCATGTACCTTCTCCAGTAATGAAACTGCCCCTGTAATCGCCTTTTCTCTACTATCATCTAACGAGCTCTGCACAATCTGATAACCGGCATCCACAAAGCTGTTGATGTCCATTGTATGGTCGCCCTTCCCCGTTCCTTTCCCTCGCTCCTCCACCTTTCCGATCATCTCCCCCATTGCCCACTCCCTTAATCCAAACTGCCGTCCCAACAGGCACCGAATCAAAAGAGGCCCAAATGCATCAATGGGCAATGCAAAGTCGGCGGCCAAATGATCCGGTATCGGTTCTGGCGGGTCGAAGCCAGGCGGTAATATGGATTCCGCTAGAACCGGGTCCGACCGTGGAGATATCGGAGCTTGTTGTTGTTGTTGTGATTTATGCGCTGGAACGGGAGGTGATGGCGGTCTTTCCGGCGGTTTCGATTTGACAGGAGAGCGTTTCTTGGGCGGGGGTTTGGTTATCGGAAGGCTAGATTGAACTTGGAGGTCAGACGGAGACGGATCGTCCTCAAAAGGAATTCTGTGAGAAGCACGCAGGAGCGCCGGGACAGGTGGAGACGTCGGTCGTGGTGGAGGTATAGGATCTTTATCCGCGCGATCATTAGCATGTGCCGCCGGAGATCTGGGAAGTGGTGGCCGTTTCGCCGGTGGTTCGGAGATCGACGCCGGTGGCGACACGACATCTATATCCCGCGGATTCGGGACGACGGAGATTTCCAATGGTGCTGGTCGGGGACGTAGAAGGGATTTGTCAGAAAGGGATGTCGATCTTTCCGGCGGAAGCTGAGATGAATCCTTCAGTCGAGAAGAAGGTGACGGTAATCCATTAGAGCGTGGTGACTCCCGTGCCACTGTGGGTACTAGGGGCGATGGAGGTCTCGCCGGTGCTGGGGTAGGTGTGATGACTGGGGGTGATGGAGCAATAGGTAATTGAAGTACCGGCGGAACTCTTCGGGGAGATGGTGCTGATATGTCGGGTTTGGGGGGTGATGCGGTTTTGGAGGATGGTGGGGATGGAGGTAACGACGTCTCTGCAACGGCAGGTCGGGTCTGGTTTCGCGACGGTTCTTGGGTCTTATTCTCTTCTTCCTTCCGGACAACTGATCCATCAGTCTTCACGTCAAGTCCGGCTCGATCGAGTTCGTGAGCCAATGCTCGCTTCACAGCATCAATGTCCGCCTTCATTTCCGCTGCGGTATCGTAATCCTCCACCTGCACAGCCCGTGATTTGGTGACCTGGAGTTTCGCAACTTCTTCCCCTGCGGTTTTGCATTTATCCAATAAACTCTTGAGCATCTTCGCATCTGCAAACCGCTCCTCTTTCACCGCCGCATCTTTTGCCTTAGCGACACCTGATATAATCTTCATCACTTCATCATCGTGATAGATTTCGAACGCCAGATCCTTTTCAGGTGGTATCCGTCGGTTCGTTGCGGTTTCATTCACCAGACCCCAGAAGGCAGCATTGGCGTTGTCGCGTGGGACAACCAAATCTGCATCAGTCAATGGATCCAACTACAGAAAAATAACCGTTTGTCAACCAGAGATCTCGTTGTAGAGTTACGTAGCAAAAGCTGGAAGCGAACACCTACTCCAAGCAAAGCTTGTTGATGGGAACTAAGTGTTTTCAACATGTGATCTACATTCTGCGGCTCACCAAAGACGTTGACACCTATAATTCCGACCTGAATCCGCATCGTCAAAGAACGGCCCACGCCACGAAAATATCACTCGCAACGAACCTGATTGTACAGATTCAAAGGGTTGACATAACATTTGTGTACCAAAATCTTTAAGTACTCTCCCTCCGCATCAATATGAACCGATTTGAGCTCTCGTGCTTTGAACCCGATCTGCACACCGTCATTCAAAGAGACGTATCTGCAAACATGCCCGTCAACCCAAAAATCCCAAGATTACCGAAGAAACTATGAAAAAACGCCTACCCCAACCGCACGAAATCGACTGTAGGATTCCCATCATCCAGCCGTCTTTCACCCTCCAATGCAAGATTACTCTCTGTAATCACAACTAATGCATAAATAAAACAAGGCCGCACGTCATTTCATCCAGAATGCATACCTGCAGGCAATTCATCCCCAGTCACCGTTCTTCCCATAAAAAATTCTAGTCGTGTAGGTATCTTGAAATGATGTACGAGTATTTCTATCTTTCGTATTCGGCTATTTCCAGCTGAAAATCGCAGGACAAGGGCTTGCGGCCAGTTGCAAAACCTGTCGTTCAAGAAACATTGTCCCCAACGGTAAGAAACTACGACTTGCAGAACTGCCTACTGGGTAATGCTTGCAATCTTTTTACCTTTCGCTCTGCCAGCCCTTCACCAACGGCCCATGGTGTTTCAACAGAAGCTGTTCTGGCGGGCATTCCTCATCATACCCGGAGCACGCAGCGATCTGAAAGTCGAGTTGAGCAAGATCCGCCACCATTCTTCGCGATCGGTCGGCCGGGCGGAACCGTTGGCGATGCTCCTGTTCTACGTGTTTGCGACGAAACCAGGCGATGGCGAGTGACAAGTTAACAATTGTTTGAACACAATGTAACTTGCCGAAAGCAGAACTGTCCAGCGTCGGCCTGGATGGCACAGTTATCACATGTGTGAATGACTGTGCCATAACAGAGTTTCAGGAGGGTTTCGACTCTCGGCCACATTTGGGGGATCGGCTCAAGTGGTTCATTCACCAAAGACCAACAAAACAAAAGACTTTTTGAATTTATTAAAATTAAAAAGAAATCAATATCTGTATGCGATCATAAAAATGCAATGCCATGCATCAGACGAATGAGAGCTATTAATGCTCATGGCCACCTTGCATCCGAACCAGGATACATTCCCCTCCCTCGTCCCATTTCGGACGGGTGTCCCATAGATTGCATCGGCCCCTGCCGATTTCCATTGCTCATCATTCCAAACTGCTGGCCATACCCTCCCATCCCCATCGGCACCGCACCATTCTGTCCACTGGGATACATCCCGCCAAGCATAGCTATTCCAGCGCCACCATCCATGGGTATACCTGGATTCATCAATCCCATCCCAACAGCCATCCCTTGATGTTGAGGTCGCATCCCCGCACTGCTTGCCGCAGCACTCCACGCCGCACCGGGGCCCCCCACTTCGGCGAAAAACTCGTAATCCACAAAGTTGGGGTCACTTTCCATGCCAAGAGGCTGGCCGAGAGGGACCGCAGGTGAGACCCCGGGAGGTCCTATGCGCGGCAGGCCCGCCGTAGGCTGCAGATCTGCCCCAGCCATCCCATTGCCGCTCGAGCCTGCTGTCACACCTGTCGGCCCATTCGATGTATCTCGATCAGGTGTATTTCCCACCCCTCCACCGTCTATACCGGTAACCCGACCCCTTGAAGACTTGTCCATGCCTCCGTCGAGTCCATTCAGATTATTACCGTCCGATGTCCTCTCCTTCAACGCAACCCATCTGCGGTCCGACATCGACAAACCCCCTTCCACCAAGGCGACAGATCCGGCTCCACCTCCAACAAGTGACTTTAGCATCGTAAACAACCTGCCAGCCATGAACCAGTATCGTCCCACCCCCTTTAACGCCTTCATATGAACCTCAACGTTACTTTCAGCTTGCGCCTCCATCTCCTTATCCTCTCCGGTGGCCTGCGATCTGGCGCCCCCAGGAGTCGCACCAAGTTGCATCGTCATTAGATGCACCAAGCCGCTTTGAAATATGCAATATGCCACAAAGGGCGAAAAATATAAAAAGTCCGGATTGGTCTTCATGACCTTTTGCAGTACCGCGCTAATCTCATTGGCACTGGACAAGCACACGACAAAGGATGGACTGGAAGTTGCTGCCGCCGATCCACTCTTTGCGCGTATGTCACGGAGTGTCACCATCATCTTTGGCCGATGGAGAACAATCACACACGTGTGATAAAAGATATGCAGGTATGCAATGTGCCAGGATGGTGGATTTGTGGACGTAAGTTCCGGAACAAAGCTGTCCCCTATTACGCGCATCCACTCCGGTAAAGATCCAAACCAATCTCGAAGCGATGCGTCCAACACAGAGAGCTGATAATCCGCGTCTGGTGTCAGCGCAGGAGTCGTATTGGTGCGTTGCGCCGTTTTGAAGAGATTGGAGTATTCAACAATCTTTCCGAAGATCTTGACAAGAAGGATGAAATACCCATAGGGGCTTTGAGCAGGGATTCCTGGTGTAAACGCATTGGTCGACGTGAGCACCGCAATTTGATATGAATCTGGTGTAGGTAGCCCAGAGACATTTTTCGCTATCTCCGATGGATCCAGCGACTCCCAAGATATTTCCGACGAAGGAAGGTAAACCTTGCAGTCTTTCTCGTTTATGATCATCGAGCGGTCAGCAGCTGCACCAGCATACCGGTCAAGCACAAAGCAGCACCACCATAATCTTCTCCTCGTTTCCTTCTCCAGCCATCCCATCCGCGACCCACCAGCAAAAGCCTCCTCAAAATCGGGCTCCACGTTTAGCTTTAACTCTTGGGCCATTCTGATAGCCATTCCAGAATACATCCACGCTGCTGAACCTGCAACCAGGAAAACACGTATCATCAGCTCACGAATTGATTTCAATTGGTCTACCACAAAATACAAACCTCGACCAGATTCTGCTGCATATGTTGCCAAAATCAATAAAGCATTCACTGTTGTGGCATTCGGCACGTCCATATAGTGGTCCACCATCTCTCGCGCCTTGATGTAAAAGTTATCCCCAGAACTATAAAATGCGTCGGGATTTGTCCTTATCGCAGGGTGTGTCGAAAACCGGGCGGCAAGCGCGTACATCGCATTCAGCATCAACGGGGATTGATTGGCGATATTCTGGTAAAACGTTCGCTTGTGTATCAAGGGCATAATTGGTCCTATGTAGTGGAAGTACAGCTCAAGGAGATCGTTCGTGGCATCTGGTGGTACGTAACCCGTGCTCTGTTGCTGTGCTGTTGGACCTGGTGGGCAAGATGTTCCTGCATAATCGATACTCGGGGACATGAAAAAGGAATTTGAGAAAGGAATTTGGTCTTTGATCATCACGCCGTGTTGGGTAAACATGGTATCATTGTGAAATTGCGGCGCCGAGCTTGTTGAATTAGCCAAATCCAGAGATGCCATGGACGTGCTGGATGATCGTGACGGATTAGCTTGATCCAACGTTTCGTTTGACGACAGCCCGGACACTAAGCTTTCGTCACTTCCGTGCAAAGGCTTTAGCAATGCTTCCATTTCTTTCAATCGATTTTCTAAAGATTCAATATAGCCAGCCCGTGGTCCACGTTTTTTTGCCCCACGAGAGTATGAACAAGACGAACTGGATCGCAAGCAATTGGAACACGTTGGTTTGATGCCGTCACACTTCACTTTCTGCATGAACCAAAGCCAACCAGGTCAGCGACAATGCAGAACGACTGATTTTATCGCGAGCAGCGTTCCAAATAATCCATAAGGGAAGAGGACCAGAGGACGAATGCTTCGCGCACAGGCTATACCCACCTTCTTATTGCATGCATCACATGCCTGTGTTATTCGCTTTCGCTTTCCACCAGTCGGCCCAGAATCAAACTCGTCCTGATCATCATCGTTATCCATGTCATTATCATTGTCGTTATCGTAGTCGTAGCTGTCACTATAGCCATCGTGGGAAGTCATGGTGCCGATTGCCAACCTGACAAGGGGCAGTCAATAACTCAGGCCCAAAGAATTGGAGCAGAACAAGACCCCAGTGTTGTCAAATACGGCCACCGCAAGCGGTCTGCCAAAGAAGAAACCAGTGTCAAATCGAATGGAGAGATCGAGACGGAGCGCCGTTTCCGAGAACCAAAAACCGGTTCGACAACTTACCCCTGAGCCAGTATGACGTCAAACAAAATACAGCGCGTGGCTACGACGAACAGTCAACAACGGTAGGGCAAGAACAGCGGCTCAGCAACCCCAAGGAGAGGAGCAAAGCTCGTCGCAAAACAAGAACACGGCGCCAAAGGACCAACGCTTTCACTCCAGGTGTCGTTTCGCACCCCAACGTACCCACGGATCCAGTCTATCGCTATCCATTTTTGGATAAATTACGCACCCAGGCAACCATATTTGACACGCAACCATAAATCTATACCGCAATCGCACCCTGTTTCCACATGGCAAATACAACTAGAATTCACATTCAATGACACGGATTTTACAAGCAGTGTCAGATCTTTATCTCGCAATGGAAACAGGTATCAGCACTTGTTATTAGCGCACACATTGGCATGGTTTTAAGCGTATATTCAGCATGCACAAATCTATGCGACATATACAAGCTGTTTCAGTCAGTGATCCGAATGGGTTGACAAGGACCTGAACAGAATAACAGTTGTTTTAGTATGACAATTTACAGTCATGAAGTATTGCAAATGCCCGCAATGAGGTCGCTCAGATAAGCATATTATGATTCCGGATGCGGATTTATCCTCACATGCATTCAGTAGAGGGAGCTCCACAATCATCACCGCAACCTCATCGAAAGACTTCCAAGGCCCATGTGCTCACCTTTTCAGTACATCCCGGGGTAATGTACTACCCCGGGTACCCTTCCAGTCAAGTGACACATGATGATCATGGAAGGGCATTTTCCCAAGTAATCTATGCTTAACGGGTGCGGAAGTACTGCGAACGATGGGCATTAGCTGTCATACTACATGCGCCATTTGAATGTTTTTACTCACCTCGAGGAGTACGTTCATCGCCTCAGAGTCCTCACCAATGTCCTTGACGACCACGCACGAGCAGCCCACAACCTTACGGGCGTTACCCTCACGGTCGATCTTGCAGAGACCAGCCCACTCGCCGAGCTTCTTTGCATCAGACACCTTGATCAAGTTGATGTTGTGCTCGGCACAAAGAGCCTCAACGAGCTTGATGTACTCTTTCTCCGTGCAGGTCTCGACCAACACGCAAAGGTGAGCCTGGCGTCTAGTATTGTCGAAAATAAGCCCATATCAGTAATGTGGTCTCGTCCAGATTCTGCTTAAACATTGGCGGTGATCCATATCCCCCCATGCCCCTCAGTGGAATCCGCGTGTCATTCATGCCATTAGGCGGTCAGTCCCGTCTTGAAACTGATTGGAAGATGCGAAATCATCACAGGGCCCCCTCCTAGTAGCTTCCTCCATATGCATTCAGCACCACACTGCTCACCTGTCGAGAGCCTTGGCCGCCTCCCTCAACCCACGCGCAAGACCGTCGTGAACGAGAGCCTTCTTCAACACTTCCTGAAGGGCCTCCTCAACAGACATAGTGCCACGAGGGGCAACTAAATAGGACAGTTAGTGTCGTGTCTGGAACCCTTCAGTTATCAAGCACGCTTACCAGCGTCGGCGGCAACCTCAACAACCTCAGCGGCGACATCTCCTTCTGCAGACATGATTTGTGTTTCTTGATATATGCGAGATAAAGGGGGTCGACAGACGTCCTCACTGAGAGAATCAAGGAAAAAAAGGAAAGCAGCGACAGATCAGCATCAGGTCCAAATGTACGCCATGACAAACTTCTGCTCGCCATTCACCATCAACACTCCCATCTATCCATCCATCCATCCATCCCATGTATCGAACCCCAGTCATCCATCATTCAGGGGCACACCACTACATCAATATCATCCATCTCCTTTTTCATCCTCCCAGGATACATACATGCGCCGTGAGTCTTGCTTTGATGAAAGAGGAGGTTCAACGACGTTGCAAGCTACGGAATTGATGGGCTTGACTGGGTGGCACAGCAATTTGATCATTGGTTGAGGTTGAGTGACATAAGCATCTAAGCCACGGACTGGAGAGCATTGACATTGGACATTTTAAACTTACGCCGAACGTACGAGTTAGGCATATCATTTAAGTTTGCAGGAAATATCTAAATAAGTTCAGCGGATGGCATGTAGGATGTAGTTAATAAAGAAATCGTACTTAAGTAAAGCGCATCCAAACCTTTGATGCAATCACTAATTGAGTGTGAAATGTACCGAGCGTAAAATAGTCAAAGCCGATACCCCAGAAAAGTAGGACAGGTACTTCACTTAAACACGGGTCTTCTATTCATAGAGTTATCCAGGAATATTTATGCTAGGATTCATAATCGCTTACACTGGGATTATGAACATTATCAGCCACGCTACCCCCCCATATTAGCAAGATGTTGACCGTTACGCTGAACGCCCCTAAATTTCAATAGGTTCGCACCAGGGTGACCCTCAGAGTACGGATTCAAGCTTATGGAGACCGGGGAATTGGTACGATTGTCAGCTATACTTTCGAGCCTAGAAAATAACGGAAATAGGTGCAAATACAGTCAGTCATCAATTTTAGACTTCGACCAAGGGCCACCATTTTGGTTGCCCTTCGGGGGGTCGTGTTGACCAAGTTTTAGCAGACACGAATCGTACCATTTTCTTCTCACCACGGCATACGTTACGACAAAATGCATGATATGGTATACACTCAAAGCGAGTCCCGAATAACTTGGATTCTCCTTGTGACCTTCACCGCTCTTTCGCTCTGCTGTGACATCATCATTCTATGGAATTACTGGCGACATGTTCGGAAACGACGCCAGGGATATGGCCACCGCGTTATCGCCCATGTCAGCATCTCTAATTTGGTGTTTAGCGCTTCATGCTTTGGATATTGCCTTTGTCATGTGCTTGGAGTGGAAATGCCAGAGCGGGATTTTCTGTGCCAGGTCTGTCCGCTGCTGTCCTTGAATGCGTTTTCTCGATAGCAAGAATTGAATGCAATTACTTGATAGTCGCAAGGACCAGTTTTGTATTTTACTGTGGGAGCCTGTGTCTATATTCTTTCCACCAGTAGCGCCTATTCATACCTAGTTATCATTCGGGGGAGAATACCTTCACATAGAACCGAGTAAGCAAGATTGTTCCTTGATAAAATGGAACGATGCTTAACCCTTCTCATATATGCCCGCAGAAACCTCATGTTGGCATCCGCCTGGTCAATTTCGTTCGTTCTTGTGCTTGGGTCTCGTATCGTCTCCTGGGCAAAGGCCAGTTTGTACGATTGGGGTTACCGGAACGAGATATGGTGCGCCATTCAACATTCAAATAAAGCAGCGGCAGCAGTAGTGGTGGGATCCATCATTGCGCCACCGCTCCTTCTGATGGTGTTCTGCTACATGCGAATATATCTCCACATCCGTGCGATTGCATCGAATGAGATGAGCAAGGTTTTGAATAAAAGCAAGGAAGCCAGAATGTACCAACTGAAAGCAGCAACAGTCATGGCGACATTCGTATTTGTGTTTATGACCAGTTGGTCTGGTGTTCTAGTGCTAATTGTAGTGGGTGGTGGAACGAGGACAGATGCCCCTTGGTGGGCGGAAACGCTGGTTATTGCGTTCGCACATTTGTCGGGCTTCTTGGTAGGTTTTCTAAATAGCAGCTTTATTGATTTGCTCACCAATTAACTGCCCTCAATACGCAGAACTTTGTTCAGTATGCCGCGACAGGCTTTGGCAAACAAGTCAACAAGCGGGATAATTCTAAACACTCTTCAGATGCATCGGGTTCAGCCTCGAAAACTAACGGCTACAATGGTAATCCTTCCATGATCAAGTCACAACGCACCTCATTGCCCCCCACAGTTCTCAATGGAGATCGTGGTGTTCGGAGTAGCAATGGACATGGACTGGAGGCGGGGGCCGTGCCTGAGCTGCCCGAATTACAAGCGTGGGAACAACAAGATTGGGGGTTTAGCATTAGTATAGAGGTGCATTGACATAGGGTACCCGTTCTAAAGTTACAAGTACCAGGTGTATAAATGCTGTAGACAGAGGTCTGGAATACCCTTGAAGGAAAACATGATATTTGCATATATAGTGTTTCTTTTTTGCACTTTTAATGTCCTTCACTATCCGACGTATGTGAGGTCCAAGCTCAAGAGCCGCTATGTACATTAACCCAGCCAACATCTCCGCTCGACGGATGTGACAACAAACAAACTGTCAATAGCAGACATTCGTTCCCTTTCAATGCGTTGCCTAAAGTTCCACAGCGTCATGGGTCGCTTCTGCGATTTCCTTATATACTGTTTGCGATTCTTTATTTTTGCCACTCTGCAGAATAGCATGCCTCCGGTGCAGGCTCCCAGCAGAAGGAGATAACTCGTGCGTGACACTGCCACGAGGTCCTCGTCGGACCCGGATGACAGTGAACGAGGTTTCGTTTTCAAAGCGTGTAGTACTGATTAGACGAAAGTAACGAGGAGGCGTAGTGAGAGTAGGAGTGGAGGCGACGGACATGTTGCCATTTACTACTGGTCAAGCTCGATTCAGAAAGGAGTTTGTATCGCAGGTGTTGAGTCTCTCTTTTGTGAGAGACATTGGCAAGTTCCACCATTTATACATCCGCATATCTGCCAGGTCGGGCTCGCCACATTTCGCCTCTCATTTGGAGCTCTTGGTTGGGGAACCCGCCAATCTGCACAAGAAAGCCTGGGAACTCTCCATATAATGCTTACAAGGTTAAGAAGAGTCTTTTCTGCCGTGCCTCTCAAAACTTGTTGCCGATTCATGAGCGCAACTAGGTCGTCAGAACAATATATATTGGTTGGAATCCGTCAAGCTGCACAAGAAGATCTGGGAACTCTTCGTAAAATGCTTACAAGGGTAAGAGTGTATTTCCTACGGTTGATACCAAACGTATTGCCGATTTGAGAGTGCAACTGGGGGATCAAGATGAAGCGCTGTGTCAAGCAACACAAGATTTCAGATCGGTTCCAGTGGGAGACATCATGGAAGGGCTACATCTGCTTACTGCGCTTACCACACTATGTATCGGGTGTTGCAGTGTACCAGCGGAGTCCAAACGATATCCGATCATATAGGATCGGGCCTGCGTCGTGAAGAGTTTCACAATCGGCAACATGCACATTGTACAAGTCAATTACAGAAATAACAAGATTTCACTCTCATTGAACGGCTGGAAGCATTCCCAACGACAGTGCAAGTCCAATCATGACTACACCAATAACTACAATAAAGCTGTAACCTCCAGAATTACTCGATTGATCTACAAGCGTTGAACCGTAGCCAGAGTCCTTACGCCGGCCATTGGTGACCAGCCCATACTTTTGATCGTGGGTGTGGATCCATCTAACAATCTATAACAATATGGTTAAGGTTATCTGAAACTGACAACACGAAAGAGTCGGTGCCCACCTTTGCGCATGTAGTGCTGACTTTCAAAAAGCTATCATCCTGCTCGTTGGTACCAACGCGTTGTGCGTTCTTTCTGTTTATGGACAACGCATATTGCTCGTAGGTGCGCTTTACACTATCCATGTCTCCAGACTTTAACATTAGCTTAACTGCTAAGCCGCGACGAATCTTAGTTCCCGTTGTGCGAAACAACGTGGGGTCATTGAAAAAGCGATCCAGCGTTGCGATGGCCATCATCTGTGGGCCGTACCGCAAGAGTTTAGTGCCTGCATTAACAACAGCAAAGACAATCAACGACAAACCTGAGGAATAGCGCAAAACTGGAATACGGTCTGATTCTGTATGCAGCTCATATACTCTAGACAGTTCGGCACATGCTCCAACGCATCAACCACAAGCTCGTTCAGGCATGCAAGCGCTCGCGCAATATTTTCCTCTTTGGCAAGCGCTTCGGCTGGTGCTCCTTTGGGAACGTGCTTGCTCCATACCTCTTTTGGCCAGAACACTCGCCCTTCCCCTAGATCCTCCAAAAAGTCCTTGAGAATATTGACTTTTTGCAGAAATTGTCCCATTTCATTCGCCAGTTCGATATTGTGCGGGGCGCCGAGCGACGGCCGTTCCAAGCCGGAGGCGACAAATAGCTCTGTCAAGCCTATACCGACAAGGCCAGCCACGTAGTGAGTGTATAGATTGTAATCTGCCTTGGTTGTGATTTCGATGTGATGAATGGATTTGTCCGTTTGGAGTGGTCGGGAAACGAAGTCGGACATTCCGTGACCCATGCGCTTGGTTATGTCGGCAATGACAGTCTGATAGCTAGAGAAAGGGACCATTGTTAGTTTTTCGCCCAGACAAATCACGAAATTTTCAGAGTTGGAGCAATCTCACCTCTCCTTCAAGCTGAGAAATTCGTTCACCACAACGTCAAACTTAACTAGGAGCTCCCGATCTTTCTCACTCTCTCCATTTTCAGTGAATGTCCACCCTCGCTGATATATACTCTTGTGAAAATTTTGCAGTACTTCCTTCTTCCTCTCCAACGGTATTGTCATATCATCCTCAACTGTATCCAAACCTCTCAAAACTAGATAAAAAATGCAAATAGGATGCCGAAGTTCCGCATCAAGCTCCTGAATCACTCGGGCAAATGATCGAGAAGTGAGGTTGAGAAAGTGATAGCACATCCTACGCGAATAGGAAGGATCTGAAACTGAGGGGGAAGCCGCGGCGGTTGCATCTTCGAGCTTTGGTGATGGGGTAGCGAGGAATTTGAACAAAGCATAGAGCTCCGTTGGATGCGTGGCCGACGCGAGAAGGGCTGACGCAGACATGACAAACAAATCGGTGGAAGCCCGAGAGTGCAAAGGACGCAAGCCGGTGCTAGTCTATGTATACGGTACTCGTCTATATCGAGAATATTGGGGGATAGATTCAATAGATAAAGGTGCTACACTATTTGCAGCTTTCTAGTGTCACTTTTTTTTTTTGCAGTCTCGGAGCGTTCGCCAAGGAGCCTAAACGTAGACGAGCCGGAGACAGGCAGGGGACTTGTATAAAGTGAGAGAGGGGGTGGTTAGTACCCCACGCGGCGAGCGGCTCTCCACCTGCTCTGTCCATGTATGGCGTGTGTATGTGTGTGTCTGGAAAAGAAACGGTCGTTCGACGACGACGACAGCCAGGACGAACGTCCGATGCGCTCCTGACGAAAATCGCGTCTGTGGCACAGCCACGGCTGATGCTGATGATTGGTTGGGAAGGCGTGGCATGAGTGGCATTGTTCAAAATCCCAAGTCTACGACATGCGCGAGTGTTGATGCCCAGCACAGGAAGGGGGGAACCAGGCATGTCAGGATACGGTGAGCTCTTGAACTGCCTCAAAACACAACGAACAGTGTGAGCTTTTCCTAGGGTTATTGCGGCAAGGCTTTCAGACCAAATATGTAAGCCATGGCACTTTTGTGGACACTACGCAATTCCATCTACAAGAACAGCAACAACACGTTAAAGTTCATTTATGAGAGTAGCGTGAGCATGACGACAAGTGTATCCCTTCCATTGTCTGCTAATAGCAAGTTCATAGCTGATTTTTCTAATGACACCAATCCAAAGTCTATAATAATTTAGCTTTAAAAAAAAGCTTAATCTTTTGGCCCTAGGGAACGGTGGATAATCAAATGAAGCGCTTCCGATGGACTGGCGGCTCTCCCGATTTTTGCCGCCCTGGTTGGCGATTCTGAAACAGTGTTGGGCAGTTATTGAGCGTTTAGAACCAACACACCATTCCGGCCAGATCCGTGGGTTGCCTTCCATATTAGGCAATGTGCCGCGGACACACGCGGCACGCGCTTCATTTAACCTTTTGAAAAAAAATTCTCCTCAGGGAAATTGAGACACTGTCGCTGAGTAATCGGAACAGCTGAGCCGCTGAGCCACCAACCGGCTACCTGGTTTTCAGTTTGGATATAATTACTTTTTAAAATTAGGAATTTTACGCAACACATTTACCATTAGATCCAAACACCCAATTTAAAACATTCAACTATAACCAAAGAATACACCCAAAACATTATCAAAAAAAAGAGAAACCAACACGGGATGAACAAGTGTTGGAACACTTTTTTTGGCTGGCAGGGAGAGCTTTGTTGACAGCGTTTGAGCGTCATGAACTTCGGTTGCGTACCTTGGGTCCGCGCGTCCCCCCCTGAGCAGTGGGCCGTCGGAACCCAGTGCGCTTAATCCTCAACAATCTCGTCGTCATTTTTCATTTTCACTCGTATACCCGGGGAATTTATACTCACCCATCCTACGAAGCTGGTCCTTCGTTAGTCTTGACGCTTGTGTCTTATGGACACTCACGACACACAGCTGCCCTCACCGAGTACGCGGATAGCACCGTACTCGGCAGATTTTGACAGACTGCCACTCCTTCGACCTCCGCAACTCAATAACGTCCAGGACGTCTCTACAGTGAGTGACAATCAAAGTCGTGCAACATGATCAGAGAATTTCTCGTGTCCGGAGATAACACTTCTGGCCGTTGTGCGCACCAGGTCGCATGGTTCAGTACACAGGATGGAAAGCCGTACGTGCGAATACGACTGCGCACCAAGGGGACCGTTTGCCGCGCATGCTTTCATGATCTAAGGTAGTATTGTTGGTTTGTTTTGTCTGGATGATATATCCGCTGGAGACGTATCAACATGTTACCCTTTGCTTCAGTCCTCGCAAACAGCAAGATTTAATAGATCGACTTCGCGCAAAACGGGAAGGGAGATTGTCTCTGAGACCTGGGGCTCCGCCGGCGGCACCTCCAGGTGAAGAAGAGTCAGAGCGGCTTTTGCAGCTGATTATCTACATGGAGAAACACAAGCGACCCCTCGCTGCTCCTCCAAATGTAGGGGGTGAACGCGCTGTGGAGGAACCCGGCGTATCGGAAGGAGATGACGTATGTATCTGCTTGGAGAGAGACAAACTGTACCATGGATGTCAAACTGAACTTTGATGCCCAGGATTTTCGCGGCCCGCCAGGTACCTCCCTACATCGCGAATCCGTCGGTCCCACCACATCAAATTCCACATCACCGCGTCCACCTACTTCGTTGCATGCCGGATCTCAACCACCAACACCAGCAGGAGCATCGCCATTTCCTCACCCCCCTCCACCTGCACCCGGCCTCATTCACCTCCCAGCACCATTCCCATCGTCTCCCTATTATCATCCACTACCGCAATCCCGATCCTATCGATACTCTGGACCGCCCGAGTATCCGTCATATCCCCCGCACCCTCGCCGTTCTCCTAGCATTGTAACGGCCCCAGCAGCAGAACCATCCCCGCAGACGGATGATGGAATGCGATATGTACAAGAGGAATGTACTCGCTTGCGCACCGAGAATCACGCCCTTCGTGAAGAGGTTCTGTTACTGAGGAGGCATACAGACATGTTGTACGAGGAGACCCGAAAGCTAAGAGAGGAAATGTCAGCAGCTCGATCAGTAACTTCAATCGGTGGACCGCCCGGCCCTTCTTCAGCCCAAGTCAGTAGTTCCGTGTCGCGACCAATCATCTTACCGCCTCGCTTGGAGGAGATACTTTCCCGACATTTACCGAATGTAAGCGCTTCCGTGAGAGATATGCTGCGGGAAGCTCTGTTGGCGATGGATGGCGAATTACGAAATCCGGGGATGCAACAATAAAGGTGCTCAAACAACTCCAACTACTCCTTGTTTAATTTATTTTTCTTTCTCGCTGGCTCGAGAAATGTAGACAGAGTTGCGTTTGGAGAGACGCAACGGACGGTTCATGCATCGTTGAAGCGGCTTCGGCTACATCTGTCCAGAATGTAATATTGTATTAGATCTTTAATGGAGTGGGGAACCAGGATGTTTTATCAATCTGGTTGTGAAAGATGGCCGATAGAGAACAGAATGTTTGCCAGATAGATCCTGTAAATGTTTCCCCAATCGTCCGTGAATAGATGCTGGTCATCCTAGAAGTGACGAAACCTTCTCTTGTAATACATGGCTTAATGATGACGGATCCCAGCACTGCAGCTTTTGAAGAACCAAAACCAGCCGGTTTCCTGCAAAGATGCGAAGGGCAGGTTCGTTTGTGCGTTGCAGGTCTATTCTTGACTTGCATTGCCAAAGTGTTCGCGAGGCGTCAACGGGGCATCTTGCAGATATGAATGCTGATTACCATCAGAATATGGCAAAATCAAAATGAAAAGATACTGATATGCATATATCATAAAAAACTGCTCTATTCTACGTCGCAAATTCCAAGATATCTAGCTTGGAGCCGTGCACGATCTAATCTAATGCATTTATAACACTATCGCATAATTGTTTTACAACGCTTCCCGCCTGATCCATAGACATAACATGCGAGGGACAGTAAAGACCTAAACTGATGACATCATTGTGAACAGCGACTTCCAAATCAATATCATTCTATGGTGAAGTAAATGTTTAGCGGTTATCGCACGGAAAGATTGAGCAGATGGAAAAACTAACCTGAAGAGGAGCTGCAAGGCATCCGTCGAGTCCGGTTTTGTGAGAGGCTGGTATTGGGGCATTTTGTGTCTCCCAGTCTCGCATCTGGTAGAGTGAAATAGATGTAAATACACAGTGCCATCGATAGAGAGATCCTATATCACAACAGCGCCTTACCCGGCATGCCTTAAAAAGTTCCACTTTCGCATCATCTCCATCATTTCCACCATTTGGAAACATCAAAAAGTTAACAAATACATTAACGATTGGCTGGCCTGGATAACCGCTCCACACTTGAACATCATGCATCGACACGCAAGGCACTGCTTCATTCTGCATTGCCAACTCGTCCTGCGCATTTTTGGCGCAATCCAACACACTCAATGTTCTTGCATTCCGGACCTGGAAGGGAAGGACGTTCACGCACGGACCACGCAGGGTATCAACGTCGCTGATACCAATGGATCGTCCGGAATGGTAAAGTCCGAATAATGCATGGTTGGCATTGGTGTATTTGGCTTGAAGTTGTCCCCAGGCGGCAAGGAATAGGGAATGAAGGGTGATTCCTTTCCGCTGGCACGCTGACGTATATTTTGCAGCATTAGGGATTGCAACGGGCACATAAAGAGCAGTGTCTGTCGAATTTGGGGACGAGGCGTTCAAATGTGGGAAGAAGGCTGTCCCTGTCTCATCCAGCATTTTACGCCAATATTCTTGCTGAGGGCTATTATCCATTGATTGACGTGTCTCGAAAGCGTACTCAAGGTAGTCGGACCAGCGTACACTATGTTCCGCCAATGGCTGCTTGCGGTAAAGGGTCGAAAGATCTGAAAGAAGAAGCGGAATGCTCCATCCATCATACAATGCGTGGTGAATGGTAAGCACCAAAGCTGCGCGATCCTGGAATGCCATGCAATGAAGGCGTACAGGAGGTGAAGAAACCACCGCAGGTTGCATTTTTTCGTACTCGACACGCTCTTTAACGATATTCTCCTCCAATGGTATGTCAAAAGCTTCGCACGACCAGTTTACGACTGGATCAGCAAACACAATTTGCACAAAGGGTGCCGTTTGTGAGGATGTGGAAAGGAAACCGGTGCGCAGGATCTCATGACGCTTCAAGAGTGCAATCCACGCTTCTTCGAGCTGGCGTACATCAATAGCATCGCGCGATGTGAAGATGAAGGATGGCATAAAGTATCTGCCTTGGGACATATGCCAGGAGGAAAGGGTGAAGATTTGACCCGCCGTCGCTGGATATACGCCTGCAACGGCAGGCATTGATGTCGATAACCGGTTGGGAAGGTCAATACTGAGGAAATCTTCTCCAATCCAGTTTTTGACGAGTTCACGCGCCATCAACCGGGTAGCACCAGGTTGATGTTTGTATTCTGGAAGTCTGTCTCTTTCAGTTAAAAAGTCGGCAATGTTCTTGATGGTCTTTTGCCGAAGTATTTCTCCAACGCTGATGTGAATACCCAATCCACGAAGCTTGGACGATACGCGAATCGCACTGATGGAGTCCAATCCAAGATGATAAATTGAGGCTCGCAGCGTAATTTCGTCCAGAGAGAGTGAAGAGACTTCGGCCAAAACATTCCGGATGGCGCTCTCCAGGTCTGTCCAAGTTGTTTCGGCAAGATCGCCCGAAATGCCGCCGTCGCTGTCTTCCATCTGCTTCGTAAGACTGGCAACCAGCTTGAAATCCAAATTCTTGAACATTCGGGCAAGGGCAGACGAGTTTACTTTATTAGTTGCCCCTCGCGGCAGACCAGTCAGTGGAACGATGAGCGAGGGAACCATGTACGCCGGCAGGTGACGTCGCGCCGCATGCAACGCAGCTGAAATAAGTTTGGTAGAAGTTCCATCGTCATCTTTCAGCAGCATGTTCTCGAACTTGTCTATCTGGATTTGCCTAACATCCCTGTCGCATCCGATAAAGGAAACGATCTGATCTCGAACTTGCTTCGGATGTTTAACTACCATTGTAACCGTGTCCGTTATAGAAGGATCCGATTTTGTAATTACCGCATTGATTTCGCCCAGTTCAATGCGCAATCCATTTAGTTTAACTTGATCATCCCGCCGTCCCAGAAACTGTACGCATCCGTCTGGAAGTAAGCGCACAATATCGCCAGTGCAGTATACTCTCTCCCCGCCAGCAGGTAGCTGGATAAATTTTGAAGAAGTGAGATCGGGGCGGTTGAGGTATCCTCGGGCAACCTGTGGACCGCCGACACATAATTCTCCAACTGCACCGCGCGGAAGCAGATCGTGTGATGTGGAGACAACATAGGCCGAGCAAGACGGCCACACTTGTCCAATATTATTTCGTTGGGTGGTAGACTCGACTCCGACAAACATGGTACAGCCAATCGTGGCTTCGGTCGGTCCGTAAGCATTGATAAGTGTGACTCCATCTCCAGTCCACGCATCAACTACATGCTGGGTCAGAGACTCGCCTCCCGTCACCAGCACCTTCAAGCTTGGTACATTTTCCGGCCTCACCATGGCAGCTACGGTTGGGGTCAAATCTGCATGGGTGGCACCGAGGATTTGGATAGCATTCTCTAAATCGGTAAGCAGCACGTCCTTTGGCGCGCTCACAACTACCATTCCCATGCTCCATGTATAAAACATTTCGAAAACCGACACGTCAAAAGTGTATGAAGCGAATTGGAGGAATCGTGCCTGGGCAGTTCCACTTATCGGTATAAGTTCTTGGAAAGAGAGAATGGCTTCGACCACAGAGTGGTGTTCGATCATTACGCCCTTTGGCGTCCCGGTGGTGCCTGAAGTGTAAATCAGGTATGCGAGCGTTGACTGAGGGAACTCTTCAACATGTGGGTTTGTCTGTGGGTATGTTGAGATGAGATCGTCCAACTCATCAACACAGATGACTTCTATCTCATCCGGACAGCAAGTCCTGAGGTTCATTGCATCACTTGCAGTTGTGAGGACAATTTTTGCTCCAACGTCAGAGAGCATGAACCGTTTCCTCTCGGGTGGGGCATCAGGATCCATGGGAACGTACGCTGCTCCAGCTTTGAGTACCCCAAGAATGCATATGTACATCCTATAAGGAAAGAAAATGTAAGACTTCTTACATCGAATGCGAAACTCACGATAACACATACCAAGGAGACCGGTCCATACTAAGCGGGACAAAGGTCTCGGGACGAATTCCGCGAGAAATCAAGAAGTGCGCTATACGATTGGACTTCCGATTGAGCATATCGTATGTAATTGTCTCAATTTCTGGATATTGCGTTAGCGACGTGCTTCTCGCAAATTGTAACGCCATCGCATCGGGCTGCGATTGGGCGTTATGTTCCACCCATGTATGCAGATAGAGTGGTTGATCGGTGAGCATGCCACCAACGTTGGCGTCGCGAGTCCGCGGTATGATGGACATCATTCTGTCAGGCAACGGATCATCCAACGGCAAAAGGCGGCGATCTGGATTTCGGATAAGGTTTGTGAGGATGTGTTCGAACTGCAGCAGAAGAGTAGAGAGATGGGATGTCGGCATGATGGAGGTTTTGCATGTAGCTCTGACCGCAAAATTGGGGCCTGTCGGCTCAATTTCCAAGGTAACATCATACTGGTAACAGATGCGCATGACTCAGTTAAGGGGGGTTGCATTTGACTGAAGTAACTTTCATTAACTCACATTCACTTCTGCCTCTCCTCCAATCGTTGTCCAGAGTGGGTGATCGTCATCTTCATTTTCACCAGATCCGACTTGGAACAAAAATAGTGTTCCAAACAGCGGCAGGCCATCGCGATTCTTCTCTGTCGATTTTAGAATCCACGACAAGGGAGTGTGTTGATAGGGAATGGCATCAATATTTGCCTTGTGGACAGCGGTGACCAACTGTGCATTGGAGACATTTTCCGTTTGGACGCGACAGGGGATCGTATTAAAGGATGGCCCAATAACATCATTAGCTCCGTCAAGGGGGATGGAGCGACCAGATATCACTCGCCCGAATATGACATCGGCTTCGCCGGTGTAGGCAGCCAGGAGCAGACCCCAGGCCGCTTGCCCAAATGATTGCATGCTGACATTTAGTGTCTGACACGCGGCCGCCACTTCTTCAACCTTCAATTCAGTTATCCTCGATTCGAAATGGGTGGAGGTCTTGGATGTTCCGGATATATATGCGGTACCGAGCAGGGTATCTGGAAACACCGTTGGTGTAAAACCCGTGAGGACATTGCTCCAGTGTTCTTGGGCATCCACTCGAGAATCCATCAAGATATACTTCAGAAGTTCTTTGAATTGTGGTCGCACCCTTGTCAGCTCCAGATCCATGTACGCTTTTCGAACATCGTCTAATATCAAAGGCAAGCTCCAACCATCGTACAACGCATGGTGAAGCGTCACGACCAGCCACTTCTGCTGGGGAGCATGAAGCACTGCACAAGCAATTGGTGGCTGGCGTAAATCGAGCATCGAACGAGTTACATTTTGGATGTGCCTTTCGCACGCAGGCCGCAACTGGTCATTCCTGGAGAGATACTCAACGGTAAGCTGCATCTTGGACTTCAAGAGAACAACTTGCGCATAGCCGCATAAAGGACTGTCAACGGAATAGAAACCTGTTCTGAGGATGTCGTTGGCTCGAATGACCGACTCCCATGCATTCAACAGCCTCTGCACATCCACCGCTGATTTGAGCTCAAAAATGGCGTGGTTCAAATAATGCCTCCCTTCGGATTTCAAGGTCTCGACAATCATTCCTTCCTGTAACGGGCTGCAAGGATAGACAGCAGCCACAGCGCCATCCTCCAAGCCAGACTCTTCCAGAACAACAGGCGTGAACTTTGCGTCGAAGTCCACAAGAATCTTCTCACGCTTTGCAGCTTGGGCCATTTCCACTTTCTCCTTTTCCAAATCAGCATTAAATTCCGACAGCCGACTCGATAGTCGAGCTACGGTGGGGAATTTCATAATGTCGGGTACAGGTAGAACAATGCCATGGCTCTTGAGCTTTGAAGATAACTTAACCGAGCTGATGGAGTCAAGTCCAAGTTGGAAAATGGACGTATTGTGTCGGGTGATAGATTGCAAAGGAGCCCCTGATACCTCCGAGAGACATTGCCGAATCACCTTTTCCGTCTGCGTCCAATTATCATCTGATTCTTCGTTGGCGCCGGCAGACCGCAGGTAGGTGATGTCTAATCCTTGATATATTTGTGCCAACTTTTTCCGATCCGCCTTGCCTGTATTGATGAGTTTAGTTGTCTGCCAGACCTAAGCGGTTCGTGTGATTGCTCTTACCGGTATTTCCAAGGGGAATTTTGTTCACCAAGAAAATTAGCCCCGGAACCATATAAATGGGAAGCTTTCGAGCGGCTATCTCCATCGCTGTTTTCAACACTGGAGACTCGAACGCCGAACCGATAATTTTACATTCTTCAGCGAGCAAACTCTCCGTCTCATCCCTTCCCGGAAGTAAGCTCACAAAAGCAACAAGCTGATCCCTTTCCTGAGCCGGATGTTTTAAAACCATCGTAACAACGTCGCAAATTGATGCGGCGTCGGCTTTTGCTAAGACAGAACTGATCTCTGCTAATTCAATCCTAAGACCGTTCATTTTGACCTGTTCATCCTGCCGCCCCAAGAATTGGATGGATCCTTCTGCGAGCATACGAACATAGTCCCCAGTCCGGTATATGCGTTCGTTGGTTGCCGGCAAGATGGCAAACTTTTCAGAGGTGAGACTTGGATTATTGATGTACTCCATAGCTACTTGAGGGCCGCCTATGCAGAGTTCTCCAATGGCCCCACGGGGAAGGATTTCGGGGCCGTTCAACACGTAAGCTGAGCAGGAATTAAATGGCATGCCAATATTCAATGGACTCGTATTAGAATCGACTTTTCGCATGGTGCATCCAATGGTTGCTTCCGTTGGTCCGTAAGCATTGTATAAGACGCCCTTCCCAGCCCAATCATCCAAGACCTGCTGCGTCAACGCTTCGCCACCAGTTACGAGTATATCAAGAGCAACGTTGTCAGGTCTGATCATCGTAGCGACCGTTGGCGTTAAGTCTGCATGCGTCACTCTCAATTTCTTCATCGCTTGCTCTAAGTCAGCCAGCAAATAGTCTTTTGGTGCTGAAACCAAAGTGATGCCGGTACTCCAAGCAAAGAACATTTCAAAAATTGATACATCAAATGTGAAAGACGCAAACTGAAGGAACCGTGAGGTAGCATTCCAAGGAATGAGTTCTTGGAATGAAGTAAATGCCTCAACTGCGCTGTCGTGCTGAATAGCCACTCCTTTAGGAACACCAGTGGTTCCAGATGTGTAGATGACATACGCAGGGTCGGATATCGAAACGGGAACAGCAGGATTCGTGTCAGGAAACTCTCGAAGAATCTCTGTCATCCGATCATCAACGACAAGTACTGTCGCGTCTGGATTGCCGCACGTAATCTCTGTCGACACTGGCTCAGTGGCGACCACGAATTGAGCATTTACGTCCTTGAAAATGTACTCCTTCCTCTCAGGAGGAATCTCCGGGGCCGTGGGGACGTATGCCGCACCCGTTTTCAAGACAGCAAGCAGCGACAAATACATCCATATTCCTTTCTCAAGGCAGATGGGTAGAAAGGTGTTGGCCGTTACTCCTCTACTTATAAAGTAGTGAGCAAGTTGATTGCTCTTGCGATTTAATTCAGCATAGGTGAAAATGGTAGTATCACAGTTGTCGGCTAAAACAGGAGCGCTAAACTCGAGAGCGGGATGGGTGGGGAGACGAGATGCATTGTGCTCAAGGAAACCGTGCAGGGTAGTTATGCTTGAGGTTTTCACTTTGCGCTTTTGTTCATGTACTGATGCCAGATGTGAGGTGCTTTTCATACCGTAGCTTCTAACACTTTCTTCCGGACACGATATTATTCGCTTAATAATCCGCTCAAGCTGCTCTAAGAGCATCGTCAAATGGGCATGCGGCATGACTTTAGCCTGGCAGGATGCGCGAAGATGGAGAATCTTGCCGGTGGGCTCCATCTCAATGCTGACCGCATGCTGTAGAAAAATCCTTAGTTTAGCACATGTCCAACTGAACAGCACAAAGACTACCTACATTCACTTCCGCATGGCCTTCGGCAATGTCCCACAACGGTTCACCACTTTCCGAACTATCTTCGGTTTTTTGAAACAAAAAGATGGTGTCAAATAAGGACCAACCATATGCTGACTGGCTTGTCCACCTGGCAATGGATCTCAACGGGGTGTGTTGGAAAGGCACTCCCGAAACATTTGCAGCGTGAATCGCACGCAGGAGATCTGCGTACGTCCGACACTGCGCAAGCTTTACTCGTGTTGGTATCGTGTTGAACGCAGGGCCAATGACATCGCCAACATCGTCCACTTGTACGGATCGTCCAGATACAACATGACCGAAAACCACATCGTCTTCGCCTAGATAGGCAGCAAGGAGAAGTCCCCATGCAGCCTGTCCAACAGCTTGCATGCTAACACCCAAACTCTGGCAGATTTTTGATATGTCGGTAGCGTCCACGCCACACACTCTCGACGCAAAAAATGATACATCAGACTCAGAGGGTGCATGGGTCCCGTAAAGGGTTGTGGGAAAAATAGACGGATGGCAATCATCCAACAGTGCTAGCCAATGCCGTTTGGAGTCTTCTTCAGACTCCGTCAGAATACTCTTCACAAGAGTGACAAATTGGGGTCGGTCTGAAAGGGGTTCTCCTTTGTACTTGCGCCTCACGTCTTGTAAGATCAGCGGCAAGCTCCAGCCATCGTATAGAGCGTGGTGAATCGAAAGCAACAAACAGGTACCAATCGGTCCCTGCAATAAGGCAAAGCCCAAAGGTGGTCGTCGTAGATCTCGCACATTTTTAAATATCACGTCAGTCTGCTCCTTAATAACGGTTTGAAGATCTTCGTCGTGCTCCAGGTGCCGCTCCATGAAATGAACCGTGCTTCCCCGTTGAACAACTTGGGCATAACCGTACCTATCATCTTCGACAGGGTGAAAGCTTGTACGGAGAATATCATTCGCAGCAACGACTGCCTGCCATGCATCAACAAGCTGTTTCACGTCCACACTTGGATGCAGATCAAACGGAATATGATTGATATAAGGGCGTTTGGTGGACTTTAGGGTTTCAACTAGCATGGCTTCTTGTAACGGCGTACAGGGATAGATTGCGACAACATCATTGAGATCAACATCGAGTCCGCGTTGGTGGCGCTCGACAAACTTGTTCAAAAATGCTTCGCGATCCCTCTTCAGTTGGACGTCCTCGTGGTGTTTGTCACGGCTATCTTGCACATGCGACTCCATTAAAGCAATTGTTGAGCATCGCATGATTTCAGATACGCCAATGTTCAGCCCGCTTTTTTTCAGCTCCGATGAGAGACGAATAGCGCTAATCGAGTCTAGGCCGAGCTGGAAAACGGATGAGTCTTGTCCAATCATTTCCACTGGTACGCGTGCGACCTGTGCAAGACAGCGACGGATCTCTCTTGCAAGTTCGCTCCAAGGACGATCGATGTCCGGCACCTGCATCGCTTGGAGTGAATTCGCGTCCAAGTCATAGAACAGATACGAGAGAGCTTTACGATCCGCTTTTCCTGTAGTGAGAAAAAAAGAAAAAGGGGGAAGGGGGCGGATATTAGCGTCAACACTTTCATCGATTTCAGGAAGATTCCAGTACCTGTGTTTCCGAGCGGAATCAGGCTTGTCAAAAAGACATGAGCCGGCACCATGTAAAGCGGTAGTGCTCGCCTAGCAGCTTTGAGTGCTTCCTTCAAAATTGTAGATGTCGCAAGGGAACCAATAATCTTAGGCTCCACCGCCGTCCTATAGTCACTCTTCAAGACGACAAAGGCGACTAACTGCTCTCTTTGCAGTTGCGGGTGCTTGAGCACAAGTGTGACCACGTCTTTGATGTCGGGATGTGCTTTGCACATGACAGAGTTGATCTCGCCTAATTCTATACGCAATCCATTGAGCTTCACTTGATCGTCCTGTCGTCCTAAAAACTCAATGGAGCCATCGGCTAACATTCTAACGAAATCCCCGGTTTTGTAAATCCTCTCTTTTGCCAAGGGCAAGTAAACGAACCGTTCCGCTGTCAGATCCGGTCGCTTCAAGTAACCTCGAGCAACCTGCGGTCCCCCGATACATAGCTCACCAACACCACCGCGTGGTATAACATTCAGATCCTCTGATAAGACGAAAGCGGAGCACGAGTCGAATACATGCCCAATGTTGGTTGGGCGGATCTCGGCTGATACGCTTGGCCTCAGCACGCACCCGATTGTGGCTTCAGTAGGGCCATATGCATTATACAAAGTACCAGCCCAGTCATCTAGGACTTGCTGGCTCAAGGCTTCTCCTCCTGTCACCAGAAGCTCAATTGATGGTACAGCACTACGTCGAATTAATGTGGCCACCGTTGGAGTTAGATCTGCGTGTGTGACGTTGAGCACACGCATTGCCAACTCTAAGTCAGCCAACAGCACATCCCGCGGCGCTGTTACCAGAGTAAGTCCCATACTCCATGCGAAGAACATCTCGAAAATCGATACGTCAAATGTAAATGAGGCAAACTGAAGGAATCGCGCGTGCTGGTCAGCTGGAATTAGCCGTTGGAAAGATTCGATTGCAACTACAGCGCTGCCGTGCTCGATCATGACGCCCTTGGGCAACCCTGTTGTCCCCGAGGTGTAGATGACGTACGCGAGGTCATTTCGGGTAACCTTATTGGGCAGGTTCGAACTTGATAGCGTCTTGAGTCTACCCTCGATAGAATCATCAACGCAGATATATTGCCTCGGTGTCCCGTCTTCAAGCTCCTCCATAATATCTGCAATGTCTGGGGAAGTAAGAACGAAACTCGCGTCTACATCCGAGAAGATATATGTCTTCCGTTTTGCCGGTGCTTGCGGGTCGACGGGCACATACCCAGCACCAGCCTTCAAAACAGCTATGATAGCCAGATACATCCAAGGAGATTGCTTGAGGCAAATCGGCACCAACATATTGCGGGTAACGCCACAATTGCGCAGAAAACGTGCGAGTTTGTTCGCTTTGGAATTGAATTCACGGTAGGTCCAACTATGGATTTCAGATTTCGAGATCGACGAAGCGAATTCCAAGCATATCCGGTGCGGTGAAGCGGCTGCGTGCTTCTCGATGAATTGATGCATCGTATCGATGGTGTGATTTGTTTTGAAGTTCCGCGGACAGAACCAGGATCGTCTCTTTTTCTGGACCAGTGAGTCGGGGATCTTTCGCGGCTGAATAGACATGAGATCGAGCGCCGGTGTTTTAAAATCGCCAATCTTTCCGTGCGGCTCCTGGATGATATGCCTGAGAATCATATCCAGTTGGCGTAAGAGAAGATTCAGCTGATCCTCGGGCATCAGGCTCGGCCTGCATGCCGCGCGGAGCACTAAGACGTCATCGTTAGGTTCCAACTCGATGCTAACTGCATACTATGGCCTTTGATTAGCAGTCACTCATGCGCTTAAATACCAGACAAAAGCTACTTACATCAACGTCTGCCTGACCGGCTATTTCTTTCCATAACGTAGTTTCGTCCGTATGCACTTCTTGGTGCGATTGCTGGAACAGGAAGATAGTATCGAACAATGGTTTAGCATCTTTGTTTCTTCCCAATGCGTTCATGATTGCCCGCAGGCTTGTGTGGTAATAAGGGATGGCTTCAATGTTGAATTGATGTACATGGCGAACAAGATCCAGATTCGATGCATGCTTATCCACTTGCACGCGACATGGGATGGTGTTCAATGTTGGGCCAATGACAGCTGCAGAGCCAGGAATTGATCTGCCGGAGACAATGTGGCCAAATATAACATCCTTCTGGCCAAGATACGCAGCCAGAAGGAGAGCCCAGGCCGCTTGTCCTACTGATTGAACACTGACTTCCATCTCGCGACAACGTGTTGCAACTTCGCCATACGAAATTTCTGAAAAGATTTCCACCAATTGAGGTGCACTGGCTTCGTGGGTTTTGAACGTCTTCCCATGAAGGTTATCTGGAAATTCAGATATATTTGCCCGGGCTAGCCTTTCCTGCCAGAACAACTTAGATTTGTCCTCAACTTGTCCCACAGTGGACTCCACGAATGATCGAAATTGAGGTCGCAAAGGTGGGGGTACTCCGCGATAATGCGCCTGGACATCCGTGAGGGTAAGAGAAAAGCTCCAACCATCGAAGAGAGCATGATGTATAGAAACGATGAGCCAGGCTTGAGATGGACTTCGTACGAGGGCAAATCCAAGTGGAGGTCGGCGAAAATCTCCTATTGTCGCTGTGCTGCATTTCGTATGTTCATCGAACGCGGCGGGGAAATCTCCGCCGTGCTGGATTTGAATGTTCTTCACGGGCATCCAAACCTTTTCATTAACCACCTGGGCATAGACAAAGGTTTCATCATTGGTGAGATGAAAGCTGGTGCGAAAAATGTCGTTTTGCTCGATGACTTTTCGCCAGGCTTCTAATAAGCGTTCTGAGTCGGTGTGCTCTTCCAGCTCAAACACAAAGTGGTTGATATACAAGCCATCCGATTTCGATGTACCGGCCAACATTCCTTCCTGAAGCGGGGTACATGGGTAAACAGAGATGATCGCATCGCTCTGCTCCTGCGTCGAGCGCGCCAATAACGCAGGCTTGATTTGCTTCTCAAAGTTTGCGATCATGTTCCTCGCTTGAGCAATATTGTGCCGTCTTGATTCCATCCCGTTCTGACGATGCTTTAAATGGTGAGACATACGTGCTATAGACGGGTTCCCCATGATTTCAGACACTGTCAATGTAATGTCGTGCTTTCGTAACAACGATGCCAAGCGAATTACGCTGATTGAATCAAGTCCCAACTGGAAAACGGAGGAATGACGACTGATCGTATCTGAAGGCACATTTGCTATCTCTCCCAAAGCGTCCCTGATGTGACTCTCCTCGTCGGACCAGATTCCATCGGCTCCATTCTGGCTTCCCCATGAATCCAGGACTTCCGAGGGGATGTCCGTGTAAAGGGTAGCGAGGACTTTGCGGTCCACCTTATCAGTCTTGCCCAAAGGTAGCGTATTGATCAACAGAATGTGTGTCGGGACCATGTATGCCGGCAGCTTTCGTGCGGCGGCATCCGTCGCATTCTCTAATACCTTCGCATGCAAGTCGCCCTTAATTATCTTGCAATCGCCACTTTCATTTCCGAGTGCAATGAAAGAAACGAGTTGATGGTTTTGCTGTTCGCGTCTCCTCAAAACCAGCGTAGCAACGTTAGAAATGTTAGGATCAGAGCCTGAGAGTACTGCATTCACTTCCTCCAGTTCGATTCGGAGACCGTTGAGCTTGACCTGGTCGTCAAGTCTGCCAATGAACTCGATGCTTCCATCGTGTAGCATTCGCGCCAAATCTCCCGTTCGGTACACACGTTCCTCTTTTCCAGAAAGAGGATTCAGGAATGTGCAAAACTTGTCTTGTGTCAATTTAGGCAAATTTAGGTATCCTCTAGCGACTTGAATCCCGCCGACGCACAATTCCCCAATTCCACCGATTGGAATGCACTGTAGGCTTTGCGACAAGATGTAAATGGAGCAACTCGACTGTGGCTGTCCGATGTTTGCAGGTTTGGCGGATCGCTTCACTTGTCGGTTGACTGCACAATTGATCGTCGTTTCCGTTGGGCCGTACGCGTTGTACAGAGATATATCGTTCAATCCGGCCCACTCATCCAATATCTTTTGCGGTATCATCTCGCCCCCAGTAATGAGAACTCTCAGATCTGGTACGCGGTCACGATGAAGAAGGGTAATCAGCGTTGGGGTCAGATCAGCATGAGTAATCTTCAGCATGCGGATGGCTTGCTCTAGGTCTATCAGCAGGGTATCTTTACTTGCAGTGCACACCGTGTGGCCCCCGAGCCACGGCATGAATGTTTCTGAAATAGAAACATCAAAGGAGAACGATGAAAATTGAAGAAAACGTGATACAGGACGCCACGGTAACATGCTCTGGAATGAGTGCAAACACGCTGTTGCGCTGCCATGTTCGACCATGACGCCTTTGGGTAGACCGGTTGTTCCTGAAGTGTATAGTATGTAGGCGAGATCCGAAGGATTTGTCGCAACTCGGGGGTTTCTTGCGGATTGACCTTGAAGATCTACCGAATCCAGGGATATGATATCGAAGGACGAATCCATCGCTTTCCCTCCTTGAAGCGCTGCAGCATATTGACTAGTGGTAAGTACTGCGGGTGCCTTCGTGTCTTTCACAATGAACAGCCGTCGGTCAAGCGGGAGTGCTGGGTCGAGAGGAACGTACGCGCATCCAGCTTTGAGCACTCCCAAAATTGCCATGTAGGAGAGGGGGGATTTGTCTAAGCAGATGGGCACAACTGCACAGCTTTGAACTTTCGACAGCAAAAGATGCGCAATCTTATTTGCTTGCTCGTTCAAGGTTGCATATGTCCACGTTTCCATATCGATGGTGGTGTCGGATATCGACATCGCCCATTCGAGGGCAATTTTTTTCGGGCTTTCTTCTGCATATTTTTCAACGGCTCCGTGAAGGAGGCCAGACACAACGGTTGGAGTAGGGTTAGAGATAGAAACGACCTCCTGCTCATCAAATGGGATATCCGCGGCAACTCCGTCTGGTCGGAGTGTCAAATCTAGCAAAACGGATTCCAGCTGTCGTGCCAGTAAGTTCGCGTGTTCTTCTGGAACTACATCGCTACGGCACAATATGCGAAGAGCAAGCCTGTTATTTGCAAGAGGCTCTACTTCTACCGAGACAGGATACTAAATTCGGGACTAATGAGTGCTTTTGTACGAGGACCCAGTCAGCGTGTCAGGATGGAACTTACGTCGATTTCAACTTGACCATCTTTCTCCTCTTTCCACAATTGAGATAAATTATCTTCGGCGGAACATCCCTCTGTCTTCTGATATATAAGAATTGTGTTGAACAGTGGCTGCTCGGTGGACGCCCCGATCCATCTATTGATCAACCTCAAAGATGCATGCTGGTGCGATATGGCCGTGGAATTATGGGTTTGAATTGATTGCAGCAATTGCCTGTTCGTCAATTTTCTGTCACTGAGATTCACACGGCATGGAATGGTGTTGAAACATGGTCCAGCAATCTGCTCCACTCCGCTCACAGGAGCCGTTCTGCCGGAAATAACATGTCCAAAGGTCACATCTGGTTCGCCTACGTAGTACGACAGTAATTTGGCCCACGCAGCTTGAACCAACACCTGCACAGTAACGCCGATAGCTCGAGCCGCGGTTTCAAGTTCTGAGCGGGTAGCGCTCAGATGTCTGGAAGCTTCGCATGAATGGGGACTACCATCCGTATCTTTGCGCCGCCCACTAAGGTCGGGGAATTGACAGCTCGTTGCGCCATGTAATATTCGTCTCCAGTACACTTCCTCCTGGGTGTGCCCGATATTTTCCACGTAACGAACAAACTCACGAAACAGCGGGCGCCGAGGAGCGCATTGACCATGATACAGTCGTTTGAAATCGTTCAGGAGCAATGGTAAACTCCAACCATCGTACAACGCGTGGTGAATTATAATAGACAATCTCGTATTCGTTGAGTTCTCGTTTTGAAGCACCCATGCGCTGACTGGTGGCTTCATGTTGTACATGTCTTGGACCACTTGATTTCGCTGTTGTTCTAGGAGTATCGAAAGACTAGGCTGACTCGCGTAAGATTTCGTCTCAAAAGAAGCTATGAAACCACTATTGCTGCCAAGCACGGCCTGACCGTAGCTGCCATCGCTCATGGCAAAAAAAGCAGTTCTCAAAATATCAGTTTGCTCCTGCAACTGTAACCAAGCGTGCCTCAGCGTCTCAAACTCAACCCATGGTTCTAGGTCCAACGTGATTTCGTTGATGTTCAATGCACCGCCAGACTTCATGCATTCCGCCACCATTCCTTCCTGTAGTGGAAGGCATGGATAGGCACATTCGATATTTCCGGCCAAGGAAGGATTCTCTGCCGCCAGCTTCCTACTCTGCTCCTCATATGTGGCGAATACATCCAATGAGCTTGATAATTCGATGGATTCGCGTCCTCCGGTGTCTACCCTCGCTTCCAAATACTTTGCCATCTCCAAAATTGTCGGATGCTGCATGATATCAGACACGGATAACTCGAGGCCCTTTTTCCGCAAACTGGCCGACAACGATATTGCGCTCAAAGAGTCCAGGCCGAGCTCAAAAATCGTGCTGGTTCTACTAACGAGGTGGACTGTGATTTCTCGCTGGTTGACAATCGCGTCACGTATAACCTTCTCCAAGTCCGTCCAGCTCTCATTTGCAGATATGTCGTCCGGCGCTTGGCAACTGTGCAAAGCTTCTGGCGAAAGATTCTGGAACAGCGCACTCAGCCGGTTTATGTCCACTTTGCCCGTCGTTCCTAGAGGAAGAGCGGTAATAGGAAGAATGAAGCTTGGAACCATGTACAAAGGAAGCTCTCGCTTCAACACCGGGACAATGTTTTCACGAATTTCTCTGAACTTCTCATTCGACAGGATAATCTCGCACTCCTTTGAGAAAGCTGTATCCATCACGAGGAAAGCGACCAATTCACTCTTAAAAGCACCAGAACGTCCTATTAGCGTTGTGACGGAATTGATGACATTTTTGGACGCAGCCCGCAATCTGCTGTTGATTTCGCCCAGCTCGATCCGGATGCCGTTGATCTTGACCTGATCGTCCACACGACCCAAAAACTCCAATGTGCCATCTGCCATCAAACGGACATGGTCCCCCGTCCTGTAAAGGCGTTCGATAGAGGTCGGTGATGATACTGGCGACCAATTGATGAATTTCGCCGCCGTCAACTCCGGTTGGCCAAGGTATCCGCGGGTCACCAACGGACCCCCCACACAAAGTTCGCCGGTAGCACCCTTCAAGACCGGATGGCGCTCGCCATGAACCGGTAATACGCAGGCAAAAACATTCGGAAAAGGACGACCGATGTTCGAAACTTTTGCGGACTTCTGAACTCCGCACAACATTGTACACCCAATTGTTGCTTCGGTAGGACCATACGCATTATACAACATTTCGCCATCTGCCCACTCTTCCAAAACATTCTGAGTCAAAGCTTCGCCCCCTGTAAGCAGCACTTCCAGTTGCGGCACGTTTTGTCGTTTAACCATTGAAGCGACGCTCGGGGTTAACTCTGCGTGTGTGATATGCATGGCACGGAACGCCAATTCCAGGTCCTTGAGAAGAAGATCTTTATCTGCAGCGCACACGCACATGCCCGCGCTCCAGGGAAAGAGCATCTCGTAAATGGATACATCGAAAGAGCATGACGCGAACTGCAGAAACCGAGCTGCTGGATGCCATTTGATAAGGTGACGGTGGGCTTCGATGCTGTGCGTTACGTTAGCATGCTCTACTAGTACGCCTTTTGGTCTGCCGGTCGTCCCAGATGTATAAAGAATATATGCGAGATCCGAAGGCGTGAGTTCTACTGAAGGCGAAAGATCTGACTGGGCAAAAAGATGGGCTCTCGTTTGATCGTCGTTGAGAATAATGAATTCCGTATCAAGAGGTACCACCTTTTTCAATTCAACCTCCAAAGACGAAATTGTGACAACATATTTACTTCCCACGTCGTTGAGGATGTATCGCTTCCGATCCACAGGTGCCTCATGGTCGATAGGAACGTAAACGCCTCCGGCTTTGGATATTCCGAGCAATGCAGCAAACCATGACAGAGACTTTGGCGCGCAGAGCGACACCTCGGCACCCAATGTAAGACCCTTCGCGAGTAGCAGATTGGCAAAACGGTTTGCTTCACGGTCCAATGCCTGATAAGTATATTCCTCTCCGAGAGCTTCCCCAGATTTCGTGATCTCCGAAACAAAGTTCACAGCCACAGCAGTGGGATTGGTGTTCGCCTGATTCTCCACGAAGCTATGCATGAAGAGGGCACCAGTCCGAGATGTTTCTGGTAAATGCGCCATTGGGCTGATAGATAGTACGGATCCCGGCAGGTTCAACTGGTGCAGTAGATTTGGATTGCTGGAAGGGTGTTGAAGAATTCCGAGCATGATGGCTTCGAACTCGGCGACTAAAAGTTCGGATTGACTTTGAGAACAAAGGGCATTCTTGCAAATGGCTTTTAATACAACAGTATCATTGGTGGCAATGGGTTCGACCTCTATCGATATGGCATACTAGAAGCACATAATCCATAAGCAAGTTGAATGAATGTAACAATGTCGAATATTTACCTCGTCCTCATCAACTGTGTCAACCCAGTTCCATATTTCGTCCTCGTAACCGTGTCCACCATTATCGGTCTTTTGAAGCACAAATATGGTGTCAAATAGCCCATTAGCCATACCAGACCATTTCTGTATAGATCTTAATGGCGTATGCTGGTATGGAAGCATATTCACATATTGCCTTTGGATATCCTGTAGCAGCTCATGAATGCTATTGTATTGGTCGATACGCAGGCGACATGGAACAGTATTCAGACATGGCCCAATAACTTGAGCGACTCCGGGAACATCGAGGGTCCGGCCTGATACAACATGGCCAAATGTGACATCCGGTGTGTCCAGATAGGCAGAGAGGAGGATGGACCAAGTTGCTTGTCCCACCGCCCGAATGGATGTGCCTGCTTGGCGGCATAGGCGCTCTACTTCAGTCAGAGATGTCGAGACTTTGCGGGTGACTGTATGGCTGCCGGGTGTAAAGACAGTCGTCTGCGAGAGGCCAGGAAATGCAACTGGCCGGACATTGCTGAGCGCGTCGGTCCAAAAATTTCTGCTGTTTGCGGGCTGCTTGTCCCCTAACAGATGCGGAATCATCCTTGAAAATGGAGGTCGCTTTGGTAGATCGCTGCCGCACGAGCTGTAAGCCGTTTGCACATCTTGCAAAATAAGTGGCAAGGACCATCCATCGAATAGAGCGTGATGAATGGACAAGACAAGAGACCTGATGTCCCCACACTCGAACAACACGAAAGACATTGGAACGTCTTGAGCGGTGAATACGGAGCTTCCAAAGGTGGATATGTGATCTTTCTGCACTTTAGCTATCAGCTCCTTTGACTGTACGATACGGGAGGTCCACCGCATTTTGACACTGTGGTGAACAATCTGGGCAAAGGTGGCTGTGGAATCGCCAACATGACAAAAACTAGTGCGTAGGATATCGTTATTGTCAATGACAGCCATCCAGGCTCTTTGGAGCGTCTCGAGGTCTACGCTGGGGTGAAGTGTGAACGTCTCGTGCGTGAAATAGGCACCAGGCGTCTTTTGCGTTCCGTACAGAAGACCATCTTGGAGAGGTGTACAGGGATATATCCCTTTCACAGCATCCGGCACTACACCCTTCAATTGGGAGAACACGATTTCTTGCACACGACTCGCAAACGCTTCCAGAACATGCGATTCGTTCGCCGCTGGTGGTTGAACTTTTGCGCATGACAATTCCCGATTATCGATGAATTGGGTCATGAGGGCGACGGTCGGATTCTGCATGACATCGATTATGGACATCTCAATGCCGCGTTCTTCTCGCAGCCGTGCAACGAAACGCATTGCCCCGATTGAATCGATGCCAACGTGAAATATCGTCGTGTCCTTTTCAACAGTGTGCAGTGGGACTGCAGCTGTCTCTGCAATTATCTGTCGAAGAAAATGTTGTTCGGCGGTCCATTTTTCATTCACACCTACCTCTGACGTGTGTCCTCCAAGCATATCTTGGAGAGCTTCCGCGGACAAGGATAAGAACATTTGCTTCAAGCACTTACGGTCGACCTTCCCCGCCGTCCCCAAGGGAATTTTGCTGACAAGCAGAAAAATATTCGGGACCATATATGGTGCTAGCAAGTTTTTTGCCAACGACACAGCATTCGACAGAGTGGATTCTCTTCCAAAAGTTTTCAAGAACTCGCAAGCCTCTCCAGGCCGCTTTTCACCAATGAGAGAAAGGAACACGACCATTTGATCACGGATCCAACTAGGATGCCTCAGCACCATCGTTACCGCTTGTTGAACGCCGTTGTTTGCCTGCATCAGAGCAGAATTGACTTCCGCCAGCTCTATCCTGTATCCGTTTAATTTCACCTGATCGTCAATTCGGCCAAGATATTCGATTGTTCCGTCCGATAGTTGTCGTACCAGGTCCCCCGTGCGGTATATCCGCTCACCATTGTACGGAAAGGTGAGGAATTTGTCAGTTGTCAAGTCGGGACGGGCCAAGTATCCCCTCGCCAGCTGTGTGCCGGCGAGACAAAGTTCACCAATACAACCGATGGGGACCGGATATAAGCTCCCTCGGGCAATGACGTAGATGGAACAAGTCGGAAACGGTGTACCGATATTTGCGGGCAAAGTACCAGCATCTTTCTTGACGTTCGCGATCGTACATGAGATTGCTGCTTCTGTTGGCCCGTAGGCATTCAGAAGCGTGCAGTCGGTTCCATTTGCAGACCCAAACTCGTCAACAACCTTTTGAGTTAACGCCTCGCCGATGCAGAATAATACTTCCAGGCCAGGAACGTCCTGCTTTCGGAGAGTTCCGGCTACGGTTGGGGTCAAGTCCAAGTGTGTAATGCCACCACTTCTGACAACCCCACTTAGGTCCCTGTGCATCAGTTCCGTTTTTGCCGCTACTAGTGTGATGCCATTCCTCCAAGTGAAGAACATATCGAATATTGACACATCAAACGTAGTTGCTGCAAACTGGAGAAATTTACTTGTTTTCCTGCAAGGAACCATTGCGCAATGCGATTGGATTGATCGAGTGGCCGAGTCGTGAGAGATCATTACGCCTTTCGGGCGTCCAGTTGTACCTGAGGTGTAAAGGACATATGCAAGGTGGTGTGTCAAAAGTGCCGGAACCGGTGGTGTGGTTTCCGGCGACGTGTGGAATGGCGACGCAGAGTCATCCAGCTGCAGCACGACCACGTCAGAGGGAAACTGTGGGTGTGAGGCAAGCTTGCGTCCGTCGCCGGAGATGAGAATGACATGTGCCTTGGTTTCTTCGAGGATATATTGGGCTCGTTCAACTGGAGTTTGCCAGTCGATCGGGCAATATGCGCACCCTGCCTTCAACACACCGAGAATCGATATGTACATGAATGCTGATTTCTCCATGCAGATGGGAATAATGTCGTCAGGTTGGACATTGTAAGCCGTAATGAGAAGGTTGGCGAGTTTGTTTGATTCCTTCTCGAGGGATGCGTACGTCCATGACTGTATGGAGAATGGTGACATGGACGTGATAAACTCTAGCGCTACATTTGACGGGCAGCGTAACGCGGTAGCTGCAAAGAATGAGTGAAGGAATGGTGCCGATTCTGTATTGACGTTTGGATTTGTTGCGATAGTGATGGACAGGAGGTCCTCTGTAAATGTGTCAGCAAGCTCTAGTGGTGGGGCGGAGGGATTTTCTAGTATTCCGCGGTAGACGTGCTCAAATTGTTGAAGCAGCAACATGGCTTGTCGTCGGGGCAACAGCTTCTCATTATAATGAACGGTGAGCTTGAACTGATCGATTTCATCTGTTGGGTGCATGATCAAGTGGAGGATAGTCTAAAAGATTTCTTTAGCACAGCGATGGCATGATACGAATGCTGGGAGCTGAAAGGTCAAAACTCACCCCGTGAGACTTGATAGCTGTGGGCGTCCTTCCATACTGCAGCAGGGTCTCACATCTACGATCTATTAAGTCTATCCTGGCCACCTGCTCCTGTTCCATCAGCTTTTGCAGTAGGGCCACATTGTTGTCTATCTCATCTAGAGAAAGCTGGACTGGGACAATACAGTCGTTGTCACCCCGAAGTAACCCGAATTCAGCCTCGTTTTCCCCAGTGTAGTGAGTAAGAAGCTTTGCCCAAGCGGCTTTACCGAGCGTTTCAGGCGTGGTTTCGAGGGCTCGGAGGTGGCCGTCCAAGTCCTTAATGATGAATGAAGTGTGCGAAACTGCGTCAAGGCTGACGGTATGTCCACGGTGATGGATCTTCCCGGTGAGGTTTGGAAACAGGCTCGCGGTAAGGTCACTATCGGTACTGTTAGCAGGCAATCTTACTGCTGCTTCGGGTATGTCGATGATCTCACGCATTATGTTTGTTAATTCGCGCAGGACTGTTATTCCAGCCTCGTCGGAAATCTCCTCCGAGTGGAGGATGGCGCGGAACTCAAATGTGTCTTCGTTGAGGAGCATTTCGAGCACGATATGAGTCTAGAAAGACGGTATGTTAATGACACGTTAGGGGAGTGCAGGTGGGTCGTATGGTGCTCAAAGTTTGTTTTTGGCATGTCGCTCTAACCTGTACATTAGGTATGGGCTCATCCGTACTATTCTGTTGAAGGACACGAAAAGCGGCTTGCAGCGGACGTCCATTTGCATCTGCTGCACATTCGCCATACGCAGTGCACTCTCCTTGAGCATTGTTCTCCAGTTCTTGTTGTGCATTGGCTATTAGGTGCCGATATGCAGCAGTCTGGACATTGTAAGTATGAAAATGATGACATCTCTCAATGATCTTCTCCTGCAGCGAGACAAAATCGAATCTAACCTTTGGGATTTTGCCAACGAAGATCTTCCAAGCGACATGGGCAATGGAAGCAACGACATCACCTTCGTCCCCATATGCATTGATACAAGCCAATCTGAGGGCTTTCGTAGTTGTCCATCCAATTTGGGTCAAAATGCGAGGAGAGCGATAGTTGATCGCTTGTTGGGTTTGGGACGACATGATTCGGGGCGTAAAGTTAGCAAGATATCAAGAACTGGATGATTAGGGCAGGTGAGAAACGCTGAAGTGAAATATTGGAGCTGAAGGCTCTTGCATGAGACGACATCATGGACATGGCGGAAGATCAAACTGGATGCTTTTGCTGGAGAATCATGCTGCGATGAGCTTTCATTGGAGATGTGCATCCGCAGCAGATCCGGAAAAGATGAAGTCAATTGCGACCAGTGGGCAAAAATGGCTGGCTAACCAAGATGTACAATGTCGGGTGATGTCTTTGAAATGCCATTGCACACCCACGGATCTGAACAAACAACTTTTTAATGTACCAGGTAATAAGTTTGGCTATAAGCAGAGATGGGGTATGTTCGTGTGTGGGTTTGACAAAAACTGATTGGAACTGCAAGCCCGAATGGCCGTGTCTTGTCAAAAGAAAGCACTTGGAAGACTATCTGTCCAACCATCTCAAATGCATCGGAAGTAAAAAACCCGACCGCAACTTTGAGTTTCACCCCAAGTACCACTGGCCATCGGAATTTGCATATGAATTCATTCCTTCTGCTTCTTTTGCATTCCCGTCTCTGAAAGACAACTATGCGTTACAAGGAAAGGAAAGGAAAAAAATATGGTGCTATGAAAAGTCGTATGAAAAAGCCAGGCAATTGAAACCCGCAGATGCGCGATTGGCCGCGGCTCCCCGATCGGGTCGTAGCTTACTTTATCACCGTGTTCGACCTTGCATTTCCCGATGGTCGATTAAGTTTTAGTGTCGCTTTCTTCTATTTTTTATTTTTTTCTTTTTCTCGGGAATGGTCGCCGTCTTGAAAGCGACGTTCCGAAGATGGACGTCGTCACCAAGGCTCCCGACAAATGACTATACCGATCCAATACATTATCATTTTCATGCAGAATCATATATGAGTTTACTCTAGCGTGTCCAGTACAAGAATTGTAGGTACTTGGTGCACCTTGTCGCAGATATACAGGAAAGCTCCATTCCTGGACAAAGATGGACGACTCAAAATCTGCATCGTCCTTTCCTCCTTCTGCCAATGCTCCAATAGATATTAAAATCAATCCAGTCTCTATTAATGGCGAGCAAGAAATTGTTCGACAGCAGCAAGACTCGCTGCAAAGTCTTGATACTTCCGGCGCTGGGCGATTCGGCTACCTCCGTTTATTCAAGTACTCGACAGCCACAGACTACTTCCTCATCCTCATAGGAACCCTCTCTGGACTAGCCGCCGGGCCACCCCTTCCCATCTTGGGAATCGTTTTTGGGGAACTGATCAACGAGTTTGCAGAAATCAAAGAAGGCGAACCGCTATCGCCAGAAGCTTCGACCAACTTCAAAAACACTGTCAATTTGAAGCTCCGCATCCTCTTAGGTGTAACAATTGCGTTTTTCCTCTTTACTTACATCTGCTCAGTGTGCTGGAGCATGATTGGAGAGCGCATCACTCGAAAGCTAAGGGAAGAGTACTTGAAGACAACATTAGGTCAGGATATTGCATACTTTGATACAACGACCCCCGGTGAAGTTACCAACCGTATGACGGCCGACATTCAGACAATTCAAAACGGAACGTCAGAAAAGGTCGGACTTTACCTGCAATCCATCGCATACTTGATCTCAGCCTTTGCAGTGGGATTCGCCAAGAACGCCCGTCTGACCGCCATACTCCTCTGTGTTGTCCCCGCTTTCACTCTCGTTGTAACGCTCTGCACCAATTTCATTGAGAAATATGCAATTCGTGCATCAGACTGCCAGTCCAACGCCGGGTCGTTGGCGGAAGAAATGTTTTCGAATATCCGTGTTGTCCAAGCCTTTAACTCGCAAAACAGGCTTGCTGGTGCATACACTGGGTATCTCGATATAGGAAAAAAATGGGGGGTAAAGAAAGCAGTCGCCGGTGCCGTCATGTTGGGTGGCATATTTTTCGTCGCTTATTGCGGGAATGCGTTGGCTTTCTGGCAGGGGGCGGAAATGATTGTGCGAGACAGCGTGGAGGGTGCAGGAACGGTGTATACAGTTATTTTTCTAGTCCTGGATAGTAAGTTACATAATGCAACTCCTTTGTATGGCGGCCTTTTATTGCTGAGGTGGTGGTTGACGACGTTGGGTACTTTATCGAACAGGTTCCCTTGTAGTCGGCGAATTTGCACCATTTATTCAGACGTTTTCCTTCGCCGCGGCCGCCGGCAGTCGCCTATTTAGCGCCATTGATCGAACGCCCGCTATCGACTCTTCGCCCAACGCTGGCACACCGGTGACAGACTGTCTGGGTGAGATGGAACTGAAAAGTGTAAAGTTTGTCTATCCAAGTCGGCCAGACGTTACCGTGTTGGATGGTGTCTCGATGAAAATACCACCTGGAAAGATTACTGCTATTGTAGGGGCTTCGGGTTCGGGAAAGTCAACCATTGGTCTGTACATCGTTTCGCTTGGTCTTTGATTGGGATCATGATACTCATCACCGAGTTCGTTCATCCCATTAGTATCCCTTTTACAAAGGTTTTACGATCCTGTTAACGGGACTGTCTTACTTGATCATCAACCACTCCCACGTTTGAACGTTCACAGTGTCCGCCGCCACATGGGAGTCGTGATGCAAACCCCCACGCTCTTCCAAGCGTCGATTCTTGACAACATTGGGCACGGACTCATAAATACACCCTTTGCAAATGCATCTGCAGAATTCAAGGAAAAAATGTGTTTGGAAGCAGCAAAAATTGCGAATGTGGACGAGTTCATCAAGGGATTACCCCAAGGCTACCAGACGATTGTCGGCGAAGGAGGAGCTGGGTTAAGTGGAGGGCAAAAGCAGAGGATTGCTATCGCTAGGGCAGTGGTTGGCAATCCGAGAATCCTTCTATTAGATGAGGTAATGATCTTGTTTGCCACGGGGGAATTCACTTTCTCTTCACATTTAATCAAAACAACTATTCCAACTCTGACAAGGCAACATCTGCACTCGACTCTCGCAGTGAAAGACTGGTCCAGCAGGCACTAGATCGTGTTTCAAAGCAAAGGACAACAGTCGTTGTTGCACACCGCCTGGCGACAGTGAAGAATGCGGATAACATTATGGTCATGTCTAACGGCAAAATTGTGGAACAAGGAACGCATAATGAGCTTATGCGCCGTCAGGGAGCATACTATGACCTTGTGCAGGCTCAGTCTTTTTCAGCCTCCGGCTTGAACGATGATGGGGACCTTTCTATCAATAAAATTCTCCACACATTCGAAGCATCAGCAAGCACGGATGAGATTACCGTTGTAAAAGAGCCAGATGAAACTGATTGCAAGATCTTGGAAGTAGACAAAGAAGCAAATCAACCAGGATTGGGAAACAAGATTGGGCGTATTGGTACCTCAAAGCTAATGCGACGTGTGGCGAGGATGAGCAGTCCCGAAACAAAGTGGATCATCATTGGCCTTCTGGGTAATGTTACTCTTTCCTAATCCTCTGTAGTGTTGCGTTCTAACCCTCTACACTTAGCATCCGTAATTATTGGGAGCGCCTCGTCAGTGGAAGCAGTGTTGTTTGCAAACTTGGTTGATTCTTTGAGCTTGGACGGAGATCCCGATCATGTTCTCAGTCGAGCAAAGTTTTATAGTGCTCGTAAGCTTTCTGTCACGCATAAGTCTATGATGGGGTTTTTACGAAACTCTTCTTTTCTGTATCCCAGTGTTTCTCGTCTTCGGCGTTGCACAGTTTGTTGCCTACTTTGTTAGTGGAGCTGCGTTCGGTTGGGTCTCGGAAACTATGGTACATCGCGTGCGAGCCAAAGTAATTCGGTACGATATTCTTACAATGCTCTTAAACTTTAACCACCAGCGGTGTGTTTTCCAACCCTGACAAACCTTCTACCAGCAATCTGCTTCGTCAGGATATCGAGTTCTTTGAATCAGCGGAAACCTCGCCCAGCACCATCACTGCCACCCTCGACTCGGATGGCAACCATTTTAGCGGCCTTACTGGCGTTGTTATTGGCACTGTCTGTTCCATTAGCACGAATATGATTATTTCTGTCGTGCTGGCACTCGTTGTGTCATGGAAGATTGCAATTGTGATTCTTACGGCTGTTCCGGTGATGTTGTGTGCTGGGTATCTTCGGGTGAAAATCGTGGAGGATTTCTATGTGCGTTTCCATTCCGGTGAACGAGCAAGTGTTACCTTTCTTAATCAAACTTGGACTCCATTAGGAACTGCACCAAACAGCATATGTCCGATCGTCTGCCATTGCAAGTGAAGCTGTCGGAGCCATTCAAACTGTGGCAGCCCTCGGAAGGGAGGCGGATGTCCTTCGCCAATACCGTTCACTGTTGCGCGAAGCTTATGCAGGGTGTTTGCGCACCATTATGAAGGGGAACTTTTGGCTGGCATTCGCATATACGGTTTCCTACCTTCTCTATGGACTTGCATACTGGTAATGAGTTAATGAAACTCTGATATTCCGTATACTGCAAGTCCTCATTGATTAACCAGACAACCGTATTTAAAGGTGGGGTTCACGGCTCGTTAGTCAAGGGGAAGCAACTTCAAAACAGCTCTTTGTCGTCCTACCGGCACTTCTCTTCAGCGCACAAACGTGTGGTCAAATGTTTTCATTGGCTCCTGATATCACCAAAGCCAAGCTCGCAGCGGTCAACATCTTTCGTATACTGGACATGCGGCCAAAAATTGACACCGAATCTGACACAAGCAATTCACTCTATAACGAAGTGGCAGGAGCTGGTAGTGTCGAGCTAAATGATGTACGGTTCAGCTACCCCACCAACCCCGACACCGAGGTGCTAAAAGGGCTAAGTTTACGGGTTGAGGCTGGATCTTTTTGTGCGCTCGTGGGCGGGAGCGGATGTGGGAAGAGCACTGTTCTTGGCCTTATCGAGCGGTGAGTGTGCCACCTCGTTCATATTGAAAATCTGCGAGACCTCACCTTATTTATGACGATTTTCAGCTTTTATGATCCCTCAAGTGGAACAATCCTGGTCGACTCCAAAGCAATTTCTACACTACCTATTCGCTCTCATCGCCATCGCATTGCACTGGTGAACCAAGAACCGGCGCTTTATCAAGGATCCATCGCCTTCAATATCCTTCTTGGCACAGATCGGGACGATGCGACGCAGGATGATGTGATTAGGGTATGCAAAGACGTTGGCATGCATGACTTTATCATGTCCTTGCCAGATGGATATGACACAGACTGTGGGGGAAAGGGTGCAAGGTTAAGTGGGGGACAACGCCAAAGGATTGCAATCGCAAGAGCATTAATTCGCGACCCACAGGCAAGTAGTACCTTTAGCGTGATTTTTATCACTCTGAATTCAAGTTGGAAACCGCGATCATAACAACCTTGTAAATTTTGTCCTATAGATTCTCCTCTTGGATGAAGCAACATCTGCGCTAGATTCTGAAAACGAAAAGCTCGTCCAAGATGCATTATCCAAGGCTTGCATTGGCCGTACGACTATTGCTATCGCACACCGCCTTTCGACCGTGCAACATGCTGATCAGATTTTTGTTCTCGAGGAGGGCCAGGTCGCGGAGCAGGGGACGCATGCAGAACTCATGACAATCAAAGGAAAATATTGGGCTATGGTTGAGCAGCAAACGATAGACATGAGAGGGACCAGCTAGAACACTGTAATCTAGAAAGTGTGTCATATATAATTTGGACATGTATCATATTCTATATATCCTGGACAGATGGACAGATAGATGTGCGAATGGCGGGCGGGTAATCTTTGCTATCCAGCGCCCAAAACAAGTTATAACCTGTATCCTTGGGAGGTCCCCTAGGAGCAGTACTTGTAAATCCCAGGCCCCCCTTGCTCAGCCAGGTTTTTTCCAAAGTGTTGGTCCTTTTCAAACAATCCGCCTGACCGTTTACACGCCACGCTTACTCAGAAATTGGCGTACTCAACCCATTGGATGATGGGCGGGGCCGTGTGAAGGCAGTTCTTTTGCAGGAAACCCCCCGGCACTTTTCCGGCGATCGGAATTTAAGGTTAGCGCGTGAATGTAATTACGGGTTTAAGTTTGTGAGCGAAACTTTAAATTTAATTCCGGATTGGACGGCTTCCGTTCGGACGCGTTGCCCAACTGGATTTCAGCTTTAAACCGGACAGACTTCCGATTGAAAAAAGATGTGTGATCGGAAGTTACTCTCCAATCCTCAGACTTCATCTTCATCCCGCTCTAGCAGGGAGTTGCAAATAAAAAACCATATAAACCATCTAATAAATAGAGCATTTACTTGCTTTTCAAACCAGAAAAGGGGACTTTTGAAATCCTTTATAAATACATGGTCAGTTGATGAGATACCCTCGGTCCTCCCAAGTTCAAGCTCCCAGTCCTCGCTCCAGTCTTGAGCCTTTGCTGTCTGCAAGCATGTCGGAAGCAACTCTTCAACATGCACCCTCCAAAGTCATGGTTGACACGGATTCGACATCCAGTGAACCAGTGCCCACGCAAGCTGGTGTCAAAAATGTAGAGGCCATCAAGACCGCCTTTGGCAAGGTAGACTTTTGGGTCATGTACATTGGGTAAGAGATTTTCTGCTGAAAATACAGCGCGACCAACACAGTCACAATATGGGCTGTTTTGGCTGTGTATTGCCCATAGCTCATGTCTCTCCGCTGTTGTAGTCTTTTATTAGTTGCATACATCTCCAGTCTTGACGGACAATCATTCTGGACACTCGAGCCTTTTATCACAAGTTCCTTCTCCGCCCACTCCATGCTAACCGTCCTTCCAATCATCAACCAAATTATCAACGCTGTATCCAAGTTCCCCATCGTCAAACTTGCCGATACATTCGGACGTATGGAAGCCTATATTTTTAGTCTGGTGTGCTATATCGTGGGATACATTACAATGTGTCTTGTAACAAACTATTCAGGATTTGCGGTGAGTTAAATTGCCCGCCGATTCCTGCTGTAATCTCGCTTTGCTTATATTTTCTGCTGGATACAGGGAGCATCTGTTTTGTATAGCATCGGAACATCCGGTATCTACATGATGCAACAGCTGATCATCGCTGGTAAGCTATCTTTTTGTCGGATGTCCGTACACCTGTCAGGGCATTTAAGTATTGACTCATTCAACGATGCTTTCCAGATACCACTACACTTGCCAATCGCGGTTTTCTATCATCTCTCCCCGACTTTCCCTTCATCATCAACGCCTGGGTTGGACCCATCTATGCTGTTGCCTTCCTTCCCGACAACTGGCGCTGGACCATGGGTATAATGATCATCCTCATGCCCGTCGTATCAGCTCTGGTCATCGGTGGACTGTGGCATGCTGAGCACAAAGCAAAAAAACTCGGCAAAGTCCGACCGGCTATCCAATGGAATAAGAATTTTGTTATGGAGTTGGTTATGGGAATGGATCTCGTCGGTGTGCTTCTGCTTGCCGGTGCATGGTCTTTGATACTGTTCCCGCTGCTACGAGCGACATCTTACGACGACGGATGGAGAAGTGGTATGCTTGGAGTCACTTGATTTTTGCATGCTTGCCCCCGGTGTCTAACCGTAATATGATTTCCGTAGGATCCGTTATTGCAATGATCGTTTCTGGTGTCGTTCTGCACGTACTACTCATCTTTTGGGAAAAGTACTTTGCCACATACCCCATCGTTCCTGTTCGAATGATCAAAAACCGTACCGTCCTTGGCGGTCTCCTATCTGTCTTCTTCATCTTCATGTCGTGGTTCCTGTACAACTCATATCTGACGTCCTATCTCTACCTCACTCGTGGAATTGACTTTGACAAGGCGCAATGGATCACGAACGGCTGGATGTTTGCCTCTGTGGGGTCATCCATTCTTCTCGGTCTTGTCATGAAGTTCCATAAACGATTTCTCATTTGGGCATATATTGGCGTCGCAATCAATATGATTGGCAACGGTTTGATGGTGAACTTCAGAGGTCCCGAGAACGCAGCGGTCGAAATTGTCTTTTCGCAAATTCTGGCTGGGTTAGGTGCTGGGATGATTACCTGTGCCACGCAGGTTGGAGCGCAGGCCGCTGTCCCTCATCAAGGTTGGTGCTTCGTTACCGCTGAACCTGTCCGTTCAATGTTTTGGCTCACCATTGCAAATTTAGATGTTGGTATCGTTACAGGCATATATCTCAGTATCGCGGCAATCGGAGGCGCCATCGGCAGCGCCATTGCAGGATCTATGTGGACCAACATGATGCCAAACCAACTTGCCGCCAATGGGATTCCTGCAGATGCGCTATCAGAGATCCTTGGGGACGTCACTTTCGCCCGCGAATCTTTGGCAGAATATCCCGGTATTAGCGATGCTTACACATATGTTACAAAGAGAATCAATATTGTGTCGCTCTGTGTGTTGATACCAATATTTGGATGCCTGCTGGCAATGAAGAATCTACCTTTGCCCGATGATAAAGGTGCGACGACATTGGTTCCTTTTTAAGGCTGATATTGTATCTGATGTATTTCCATCAACAGTTGCTGCTGGTGCCCCATCAACAGGAAAGGATGTAGACAGAGAAGATGAGATTCGGGTTTGAGTTTAGACCTTTATTTGGCAATTCTTTACAATAGTGCCGAGCACCCCTTACGTTTAATTTTCGGAATGCACTATATGTATAAAATCTCAATTTTATGTACGAAGGGACCTTTGCTGTGGAGTTTTCTAAAGCGTCCGTTAAGATAAAGCAATTATACATGGCAATACAAATCATAGAATAACAAGTGCAACTACTCATTCAAAAGCTGTGCGTAAGGAATTTGAAGTAGCGTGTGCAGCAAAAATAACTCGTCCCTTGTCTGGAAATGGCTCCGACCACTGACAAAAGTACGGCCCTTTTGTGGCAGCTGAGCATGGATCGGAGAGCAGCTTTTACAAACAAACGTGGAAATTCTTACCTCCAGCTCCAACAAGTTCCAAGTCATGAAAGGGTGGTAAAGTGCGCTTATAGCCCCAAAGTCGAAAGTTAGCGGCATCATCTAGTAAGCATGATCTGAACGCGTCGGACTTGCTGCGTTGATTACCACATCCCAAGCTGGGATACCGGAGTACGTGTCTCCCCGTCCTCTATTCAACTCTTCATCCTCCATCTGTTGCAGATCGCCGGACGATATCTGCCCCCACGACTTGTTACGGTGGATGCTGGTCCATCCAGTTGTAGACATCCAATTTTATAGCCTACATTCCCGACAACGACAAATACGGAGATTATCACGTTAGTTTGACCTTTACGCCGTTCCGCCACGTCCGTCATGCCGGCGGAAGACACGGCCACAAAACCTACTACCCCTGGAAAGAAAGGGAAGGATGCAGATGCTGACGATGCTGCTGCACCTGTCGTGCATATCGATGGGCGTGTTGCATGGTTTGAAGAGAAGGTTTGCACAGCATTGAAAGTCAAGAATGACAAATGGAAGAAGATGCTCATGACACCGGAAAATGTGTAAGTGCTACCATTTATGAATTTACAGGACTTTGCACTCGCTGATGGTGCGATATTTAGGCAAACCATCGTGGATTTCCTTGACAAGGACTACAGTACTATTCTCTTCTATCTTACACAAAAGGAAGATCTCTTCCCAGCCATTGCTTTCCCAGGATCTCTTAAAAAGAAGTCTGTGTATTTTTTGAAACACAACGTGGGAGCACCTATCACGGAGAAATTGGACACGGAACTCACCATGGGGGATCTGTCAGCCAACCCTTTGGAGTTTCTCTCGGTGTTACTCGAAGAGGTTTACTTGCCACTTTTAACCAACCCTAAGAACTTGGAATCTTGGCCGGAAGTCGTTGCAAATGATGTCTTGCGCCACTTCCATCAACTCAATGGGGCTGTCTATGTCATCTCAGGCAAATCGAAGGTAGATAGGGCGTTCAGGTTCTTCGTATATGTTGCTTGCTAGAACTTCACTGTTATAGGGCAAAACAATGCTTCCCCTTCCGCATGGAGCACGTCTGACCACGGATGTTGATCGGAGTGTCCTGCACACCTTGGAATCTGCAGTAATTGACTGGACACATCAGATTAAGGAGGTGATCAAAAGCAGCTCCGCTGCACCTCTTGAAGAAGGGTTGAATCCAGGCCCTATGGTGGAGATTGACTTTTGGGCAGCCAAAGCGGCCAATCTGAAATCTATTTATCAGCAACTGACTGATGAGAAAATCCAAAAGATCTCAAAGCTGCTAGAAGTCAGCAAAAGCACTTACTACCCGGCTTTTAAGATGATTTTTGATGAAGTCGTCGCTGGTATGTTGCCTCTCTTTTAGTGGAATAATCTTTATCACAATCTCACATGATAATTAACAGCGCTGGATGAGGCAAATGACATTACTACCTATCTCCGTGCCTTGCGACCTGCAGTAGAACGACTGAATTCGGTCAACGACTTTGTAGAGCTTGCTCAAGTATTCCCTGGCATGATGCATACCCTCGTGCTCATCTGGAGGCATTCCAAGTACTATAACACTCCTCCCCGTCTCACCGTCGTCCTCCAAGAAATTTGTAATGACATCATAGAGCAAGCCCGTAACTTCATCCAACCTTCCGAGCTTTTCAGCTCAGAGCCTGAAGAAGCTGCGGAACGACTCAAGGTTGTTATTCGCGTCTGCGATGTGTTTAAGCAGACGTACTACGAATACAAGGCACAGACAGCAGAAACAAAGCGGCCATGGAATTTTGATATCAAGCTTGTATTTGCGAGACTTGACAAGTTCTTGGGGCGCGTTCAGCAGATTGTGGAGCTATTTGACACAATCATCGAGTTCAACCGACTGGAGAAAATCGAAATAGGAGGGACGAAAGGAAAGATTCTAAGTTCGCAGGTTGCGCAGATTTTTACAGAGTTTACATCGGCATTAGGGGCATTTAGTAAACTCAAGTATGATGTCCTGGATCTCAACCTGAACGAGTTTGAAATCGACTTGGGCCATTTTCATGCAAAGATTGCAGACCTTGATCGTCGCTTGGGTACCATCCTCAGCCAGAGTTTTGATGACTGCTCTGGTCTGAACTCCTGCTTCCGGCTGCTCGAATCTTTTGCCGGTTTGCTTAGTCGTCCAGTCATTCAGCAAGACTTTGAGAAAAAGTATTTTGCTTTGTTGAATATGTACTCGGATGATTTGGACGATGTGGCTGCAATTTTCAACAAGTATAAGAGCCAGCCTCCAATCCACTACAATATGGCCCCTGTTACGGGTGCCGTTGCCTGGGTCCATGAGTTGAAAGACCGTATCACCAAAGCAATGGAGAAACTGAAAAGCGTACGTACTGGTTTGATTGTTCAAGATTAAGCGTATATCTAACGGTCGTCTCTTTGTAGTTTAATCACAGTGCTATGAACACTGAAGATGCCAACCTCGTCAAAACCAAGTACGAGAGCTTGTATGAGACCCTCGAAAACTATGAGCGTAGCATCTTCACCCGCTGGAGCGATACCATCACCGACGAGTCAGAAACCAACCTTCAAAAACCACTGCTCGTCCGCGAAGACGGGCTGCTGAAGGTTAATTTTGATCCCAAAGTCGTTGCCCTTCTCCGAGAAGTTCGATACTTTGAGGCACTTACCGTGCAGCCCCCACCAGCTGCCGTAGCAGTCTACTCCAAATCGGATGTTTTCCGAAAGTACATCTTCCAACTTGACCACATTACCAAATCTTACAATGGTATACGCACCGGGGTCTTGGAGGTGGAGAGACCGCTTATTGAAGAGCGGATTCGGCAAATTGATGGGCAAATTGAGCACGCCCTTACGACGCTCAATTGGACGTCTGGCGATATTGAATCTTACATTGGACAAATTGGCACCTCTGTTGGAGATCTTTCCTCTGTTCTCCAGTTGATGAAGAACAATCTGAACCAAATTCAAAAGATTATGAAAGGTTGGAGCGCCAATCCGCTGGTTGAGCGCAAAGATGGAAAGAAGCTATTGAATTTGGAGGAGAAGGACTCCCGGTTATCGACTGTTTACGATTCCATTAAGCGGGATGGTCAATCCATCCACGGACTACTTGCCCAAACGAGAGAAGTTGTTCATGCCAATGAAGAGTCTGAGGAATGGATTCGGTACCAGGAGTTTATTGATGGGCAAGTCAAGGAAGGCTTCTGGAAGACGCTCAAAACCAGTCTGGAATACATCACTCAGAATATGGAATCGGAGAGACTCGGTGAATTAGGACCACTTTTGGAGGCGAAATTGGAGCTTCAGGGTGAGAGTTTGGTGTTTACACCGAACATGGACGAAGGTGAGAACCAAGTTGGAAGTAGTCCATTTGTTTTGGAGCTCACAAAGTTTGTGAAATTTTCAGATGCGGAGGACAGTCTGGCCTATATTATCAACGACCTTCTAGAAGACATTTACGATTGTGCCTCTCTGATGGGCCGCGTTGCCCCTGCCAAGGATGTAGAGCCTGTTGCCGGACCTGGTGAAGGACACCTACCTACTGTTCCAGCCACTCCAGACGCTGCTAATGGAGCAGCTCTTGGAAACGGTACAAACGAGGCATCTGAAGGAGCGGGGCATGGCGTTTCTGACAGCGACGTTCACAGCGATGAAGACTACGCCTCAGATTCTGATCAAGATGATTTCCGTGCACGCCAGCTTGCTCAGATGAACATGGAAAACGAGACATACCTGGGTGAAATGCGTCGTGATCAAACCTTGATCCGTTTGCGCACTTTGATTCTGGAACATGTGAGAGAGATCATGGAACAGAGTGTTGTCTACAAGGATGGATATGATCAATTTACCTGGCTATGGACCGAGAATCGCCAAGAATACATGAAACAGTTCCTCCAGACATCAGAAAAAACAGGGGATGATGAATCCCAAAATGAGGAAAAAGCTGCCGAACCAGAGCATCCCAGCAAGCTCGAAAAGTTTGAAAACGAAATTCGCAAGTTTGAGTCTCTGCATAAACAGGTCATGGGGATTGAACCAGAAGTGATTTTCCAAGGATGGTTCCGCATTGATGCTCGACCGCTTAAGCAAGCCCTGAACGTGGTGGTTAAAAAGTGGAGTTACACTTTGACCAAACATCTTCAAGACGATGCCATCTCGAGCTTGAACGAGCTCAACGAGTTTGTTAAGATCAACAAAAAGGGGCTCCAGCGGGAAATTAAAGAAGGAGACTACGACGCACTTGTGTCTGCTATGGGACTTTTGCACGCGATTAAACATCGTACTTTAAGCATTGATGGAATGTTTGAGCCGCTTCGTAAGACCATCAACTTCTTACGGCAGTTTGGCGTAGAAATGCCGGAGGAGACTCACAAGCTGTTGAACGACCTTCCCGAAGAATGGTCTGAAGTCAAAAAGCTCTCCGTCTCCATCAAGGACCACGTCGCCCCCTTGCAGGCAAAGGAGGTGGACATATTGCAGCAAAAATGCAACAAGTTCGAAGTCCGCAACCATAATTTCAGAGAGGAATTCCGCAAAAAGGCGCCATTCAAGTTTGATGTTGGACAAGAACGAGCGTATGAACTCATTGATATTGTCCACATGGACGTGTTGGCAATGGAGAACGAAGCTAAAGCTCTAAAGAACTCTTGCGAATTGTTTGAGCTTAATGTACCCACTTACCGTCAACTGGGCGACTGCCGTCGGGATATTGGGATGCTCAAGTCTGTTTGGGACGTTGTTTCCCTCGTGACTCTCATGTTTGAAGAGTGGCGGACCACGCTTTGGACCGCCATCGACACTGATGCAATGGAAACGCGCTGTCGTGACCTTACCAAAGAGCTTCGAAGAATGGATAAAGAGATCAAGGCCTGGGATGTTTATTCCGGCCTTGATCAGATGGTCAAAGACATGATAACCTCGTTGAGAGCGGTCGGAGAGCTCCGTAGCAGCGCTATCAGGGACCGTCACTGGAAACAGCTGATGAAGACAACGGGTGTTACGTTTGTTATGACCGCGGACATGAAATTCCAGGATTTGCTTAGCCTTCAATTGCACAAATTCGAAGACGATGTTAAAGTGATGGTGGGACCGGGGCGACTA